ATATGTGAATGTAGCCTATAGATATGTGTATGTGGGATATTACTGTGGGAAGATGGCAGAGATAGCTGTGTGTGCATGGAAACTTTGTAAGTAGTCTGTCAGATGTACCACGGGGGGGGGGGGGGGGGGGCTAAGACAGGATTGTTAGGGCACAATAGCCCTTTTAATGATGTTTTTCCATGGTTACCAGTCTCCTGCTTGAAAGATGAGCAGTCATTCATATCAGGGTCTAGAGGTCAACTGCAATTTATTTTGGTTAGTTCTTGACGGTAAAACTATATCCTGCATGATAAACTCCAGTTCTCTCCGTCAGTTTAGGCTCTGTGATTGATATTAAACAGAATCCTGTCACGTGTGTGGTGGTCTAAAAGATGAAAAGGATGTTTTTCTCTTAAGATATACACTGCTCTTTTGGTGGAATCTGAATGTCTGTGTACATTTAGTTTGTGATTTGTGGCTTGTACACCAGTTTGGTGGTCTGACACTGATTTGTAGCATCACGGTGCCATTGAGCCGAGATTGATATTGTATCTCATTACAGAAAGGCCCTAAGCTGGCTCTAGTTCTCCAGCCTGCTGCTTGCCAGGGAATCATTTTGAGTGGGCTCTCAGGGGGGTTCCAATTATGGGCACAGTGTGGTCTGATGTCTTTGCTGCCAGAAACTCATTGCCCCCTCTGGTTTGTGTTGCACGAAATGAGAACTGATGAGGCAGCGTTGCAAAACACAGTACAGGGATGTCTCAAACTGGATTGTGACACTTAATGAGTGTCAGATTTTGAAGAGCAGTGCCATCTCAACATTTTGAATGGGCTCTAAACCTATTTAGAAGCATTTCCATTGTGCCTATAATATCACACATGCTATTTTCTTCCAGTTGCAAAAAGACATATTTATGAAGACATGTGACAAGGGGTGTGTTTACTCTGCATGTTTCCTTTGAAGGTTTGTCACTTACAGGTAGAGAACGTGGTTGAGAACTTGAAAAGTATCATATTGCTCCTTCCCCAAAGAGTAAAGTGCACAGCTTGTGGCAGACCCATCTTCCTTTTTGTGGTTTGAGAATTACAGCTCAGTCTTCAGGGCGAGCCGACATGGAATCTCCTTCCTGGACTATGATGTGGTTTTTGGCTTGATATCTTTTGCGAGCATTCTGCATCATCAGTCAGCATCTACTCGCCCAGAGGTTCAGAATATCTTTTGCAGAAAGACAGGACCATTTATTCATGGTTTTGATATATAGACCTTGATATTCAGATCATCCTGTGTTCATATTTGTTTTCCAGTTTACACCTTGCATGGTTACAAAGCAATTAGAGAAGTTACAAGATATATTTTATGTTCCATTGTTATGTTCCACAAAGTAATCATCGTACCGTATCTACTTTCATAAGATACAATTATGAACGATTGATTCCACTAATTACAATGATTTAACAATATAAACATTAAAATGACTCCCCTTTAATCCTGTAGTAGTAGCCAGACATACATTAAAACCGCAAAATCAAACAGGATCAGATAAGCAGATATCACAATATCATGTGACTAAATTTAATTAACTTCACTTTTAAATTTATAGGCTAACAAGCACTAAAGAAAAAGTTTGTGTTGCTTAATGACTGTAGATTTTTTTTTAACAATCATGGGATAGTAAGTCATTTCTCCAGGGGTGAACTCTGACACTCAAAGGTCAGACCACTGACCAGCTTTTTTTGCAGAGCAACGGGAGAGATCATTACCCCTGTCAGCAGGCCTCAAGGGATGTTTTAAGTGGTGATGAAGCATAGTCTGTGAAAGTAAAATGTTTTCTGGGACAGTCCAGATGTACAAATGTTTTCCCATGGATTATACGGGATCCTGTATTTCACAAAGCTGTATATACAGTCTCACGCTGTATATACAGCTTTATCAACAGGGTGTCACCATCTCTTGTACCCCATCTTGGAATGTTTGGAGATGAAGTGCTGCATTCTTGGTCAGTAAGCGGCCTTCTTGACAAGACAAACTAGAACCATAAACCCAGCACCTCGCCATTCATCAACCGTCTTTTTCTATGCCCGATGGGCCTTGAAGCCGTCATTGGTTAACAAAAGCTATTTGGAAAACCTGAATTGAGATTGCACTTAAAATGCTAATGGTGAAGCTTTTGTATATCCAACGATTTTTGATCTCTGAGAGGGAATGCCTGGTTGGCCCTTTGCTGACAATGTAGGCACATTGAGCAGGCCTCAGCAAAAGCATTCCTTTGCCAGCCTAAAGCAGGTCAAACCTTTTCATCTGCTTTAGATCCGGTAATGAAATTGTCTTTATTTACATGTCAGAGCTTTCCCTTTTTCTTCATAGGCATTTGCACAGAAACCTTTTTTAGATTTGTAGTAAACTGTGATTATTTTTCGTCTGGTTCACACGGATGTTTCTCTCTTTTTGGTCAATTCTGAACATCACATCATCACATCTGGTTGGTGTAAGTGATGACTCATAGGTGACATATTTCTCTAATGAGAGGTTTGGGAAGCTTGGATCGTGAGTGCATGTGTGAGGATGCCTATTTGGCAAGATTATGAGAAAATCAGATGTTTGAGTTATAGGATACAGAGATTGTCATACATGCTGCTTGCTGAGAGACAACCAGGCTGTTTTGAGAGATGCGCCTCACATTCCAATTTATTAGAACATGAAGTTTAACACAAATTAAATCTTTTTTATGTCCAGCTGCTAACTTAACAGTTTGAATGTCTTTTGCAAATTACTGAAGTACATTGCAGATAGTAGGGACATTTTTCACTACAAATGTCATTCAGAACAAAATCATCATTACTTTTCATTGGAAAAAAGTGAATATACACGCTCACTTATTAAGTGTTTCTGTTTTAGCTCACATGTCAGCTTCAGTACCTGTAGCAGGAGGATTACAAATTAAAACATGATGGGTTTCACTGCTCAGTTACTACAGAGTTTTCCCTTTTTCAACCCTACTCTGGCAGAGATTTTGCACATAAAAGCGAGCCAGGTTTAGACATGTGAGCACAGGCCTACTGACGAGGCCCTTGAGGTTTCTCCTTCTGACTGAGTAAACATCTGTTTGGCTTGGTGCAAATGTTTATTATTAACTGCCCTCTGTTCAGGAGTCAGGGATCTACAGGCGACCTAAGGTGCTCTGATTCTGGGACTAATAATACTAGTTAACATTTTCTAGTTTAGCTAGAAAATGTTATTCTGAGGTGTTGTTTGTCTCAAGATTTTATAAGCTTTTAAAAAGCTTGTTGTACATGTTGTGTTGGATAAATGTTATGTGAAGTGACCCAGAGAGGATACTTTGCAGAGTTTGTTTTTTTTTGTTCTTTTCTTTTCTGCATGTGTATCACTTATCTAAATGTGCTTTTTTCAGATTTGGTTGGTATTTCTGGCACATTTTTATCCTATCGGTGCTTCATTTAAATATTCTGGTGACATGAACAGAATATGATTAGATAAGTACAAATTAAAATGTGCAATCCACTTAGTGATGAATCTTTGTCAGAAATGAGTGGAAAGTATTTTTATTGCTGTCCTGTTACAGCTTGACTGGGTCCTCTGTCAGCTCAGATTTATATGAAAGCGTCTTTAGTTCTCAGACAGCGTGCAGAATATCCAGGCTCGTGTTTCTGGTTGTACAGCGAAAAGCAGGACCCCGGGTTCAGCCAAACACCTCGTGTGTTTAAGCTCTCAACAAAGCCAAACGCCAACCCCACTGATCTCCAGTACTCAGGGCAGTGGGGAGGCTTTGAACCGAGCAATAGAGCTCTCACATTAGTCACCAGGTGGTAAAACAAAGCATTTCTTCAAAGCACCAGAAACTACGTCAAGTGTTGTCTCAAAACAGTGATTTTTGTGAGTTCTCTTTTAACACGAGAAAACATCATTTTTGATCAAAGCAGAAAAGTTTAGTCTGTCTCCACCATGAATGTGAATGAATACACATCGGTCTTTGTGCTCCTTGTATTCTTGCCTCCAATTATTATGCACTGACCTCGCCAGAGTCACCCAGGGTGATGGAAGAGTGAGCAAAGATATGCAGCGGGCCCAGCTGTTGGTCCCCGCGTGCCCTGGACCAGTGACATTTAGCGGATGTCACACAAATTGGAAGAGTCTTTTGTTTTGTTTTAATTGTCGTTTTTAGTGTCTTCAGGAATGTGACGCATAGTTATCCATATTTACCCAATTCTGCACACAGGAGTCAAAAAAAGAAACAAGTTCAACATTTTTTATGGTAATTTACGGAGATCACATCTAGTGTCAGCAGCTCTGCGTGTTTTTAGCTCTTCTGACATATTTGTTTCAGACCCTTCTATCACTATGTTCAATAATAAGTCTTAAACCTTTTTTAGAAATGAAATACGACACAGCAGAAATATAAAGGTTTTCATCTCAACGCATACTGTGTACTCTCAACGTGTAAAGTTAACTCTCAGGTCACATCTTCTTGTGCTCTATCTTCCAGACTGTGCCTTTACATCTCGCTTTAAGTCAGGAAGTAGAAGTTTGACGTTAGCTGGTCTTGTCTTTGGAATTCAGGCCCAATGTCTGCTAAAGTCATCTGCTTTTCCCAGCCTCAGCCTTTGCCTTTTTTGGGTGGATGTCATCTGTTTCCATATTTCGGTTTATGAATTGTTTGTTTGCTTGTGGTCCCCTGAGCAGAGTTGCTTTGCCAACGCTTCTCAGAAAAGTCTACAGTTTGGTTGGAGGCAGTTGTGTCAACTTAGCATTTAGATAATATGAAATGTGTAGATGCTTTTTACGTCACTGACAAATTATGCTGTTGATTGTTGTTTTTTTGTTTTAGCACAACAAGGACCTATGCAATTATCAGCATCCATCAGGCACATTCACTCTAAGTCAACCCCCAACAGCCTAATATAATCTGGTCTAACATTATACCCTGCCATGCAGCCCTCCCTTCTAACCTCCAACATATTTCAAGCATATTGTGGCCTTACATCCTTTTTCTCTCCCCCTCTAGAAGACAGTGCAGTGTCCCTGCTACAGCTGATTGGGGATCCTCCACCAAATGAGATCACCCAGATCTATGGGCCCGACAACAGCCCCGGCTTTGTCTTCGGCCCCCGATGCCAACACGGGCCAGTTGGCCCGTGCCCACCTGCCGAACCCATTCTACAGAGACTTCGCCCTCATCTTCAACCTTAAACCCACCTCTGACAAGGGTGGCGTCATCTTCTCTGTCACAGATGCCCTCACAGCAGATCATGTATGTGGGTGTTAAACTGTCAGCCGTGCAGGGCAGCAACCAGAATGTCATCCTGTACTACACAGAGCCTGACTCACAGCAGTCGTATGAGGCCGCCAGGTTCCTTGTGCCCTCTATGAGGGATACCTGGACTCGATTTGCCATCGCTGTAAGGGATGACAAGGTGATGTTCTACCTCAACTGTGACATAGACCCTCAGGTGATGCGCATTGAGAGGTCCCCGGACGAGATGGAGCTGGAGGCCGGTGCTGGGGTCTTTGTTGGGCAAGCTGGAGGAGCCGATCCTAATAAGTTTCTGGTGTGTACACAGGCCTTTTCTGTTTTGAACAAAACAATATTCAGGCCCATGAAATCAAGAAATTAAATAATTAAAATATTATAAAATGATTATTATTTTTTGTTAAAGCTTTCATAGTAGATAAAGAAATATTTGCATGATGCATCTGCAGTGAACATGTACGACTATATTACTATATTTACTATATTTATGTGTTGGAGTCAGCAGACTGCATGTTTCACATTCCCAAACTACTTCTTTTTCTAGAACAATACGATCTGCACTGAGACAGTGAAGTTTTGGAAAAGTGTTTTGATTTTCCATAGTTAATCATGTGAAACATCTTGGCTGAATAACTCTGATATGATTTGATCGCTCAAATTGGCCTCATCTAAACCATAACATAAATGTTGACCTCACCTCACAATCTTTTGAGAGTAATCTGCAATTAATTGGAAGTCCTTGCAGTTCCAATATTATTTATTTCAGTCATTTGACTGCTGAAAATCCCAACAACTGTTGACCTTAGCTTCTAAAGGGTTATAGTAGTTTGGCCTTTGGCTACCTGCGTGGAGAAAACGTGCCACTGCATGCCTAAAGTCAGTGGTGATTATTAATTCAGCTTCTGTGTGTACAGCTAATTGTGTAAAACAGATAAAACATGGGCAGTAGGTACAGTATAGGTTTCTGTTTCCATAATACGCTGTGTAAGCCGTGAGCCATTTAAGTGTGGGAAAAAACAGCTTTTGTAAACATTGATACATGACACTATTGTTTTAGGGATTTACAAACTGCATTTTGTTTTATGTTCTTATAATTCACTTAGAATCTGGGGGAAATGACTTGAAAATGACTGAGTACTAGTGTGACAATTATTATCTCAGATATAAAAGACAGATAATAACTGAATTTATTTTAAAGTGACACTTTAAAACTATTTCCCTTGGGGTAAGGTGATATCTTTAATTCATGCAAATCTTCTATATTTATCTTAGAAAATAAGACATTAAAGATACAGTCATTTATATGGCTGTCTTTCTTCAGCATTAAGTAGAAAAAATATCTTCTATTCATAATGACAATTATAATCTTACATAATACATACATAATAAGTGTGTTTGCAGTCTTCCCTCTGCTGTAACAATTGTTTTAATCTTTTTTATTGTTCTGTTTGAAGACAGCTGCCTATTTTGGTGTGTTTTTTTTTTCATACACAAGCATATTTAAGGTATTTCCAGAAATATATTTTGTAAACCTCTTGCAGTATGTGGAAAAAGGAACCTAACCTTGTTTCTTCCTTTAAGACTTGTTGGCCATGTGCTATTTGTTGACCCTAGCATGGCCCTAAGCTAGAGAGGTCTTGTGAATTTAATTTCTCCAATGAAATCAAGCCATAGCGAGCTTCTTTTACATCTAAATATTTACATTATGTATTTATAAAAAGGACATTTCATTCCAAAATAGGATTTGTTTAGTAGATGTCTCTAGCAAAAACATAATGCAGAGTCAGTTAGTAGTCCATCTCTTGCACAGAAACAGATTTATTGTGAAGATCTAAAGCATTTGTTGTCATCTAAACGCCGTACAAGTTACAAAAGAAGCCAGTACAACCATTAAAAGCCTGTATAGGGTTTAAATGTCAAAGAGCCTTTGCTATTTATCTTCAAAGCTCTACTAAAAAATCCATTTGACTTTTTTCTCAGCACATAAATGTGTCCTGAAGAGTCAACTTCAAATAACTGAGCAGCTGAGAAACGACCTCTTTATTCACAGCTAATGGCCCTTTGATAGGCTGCGAGATAGCATTCTTGCTATCTGTGCGAGGATCCTGTGTGGGAACATGTATCAGATCGTGTGTGCGGGACAGAGATAGAGGCACTTCACAGGCTAAAACTGGAGACATCAATAGCCCCTCTGATTTTGTCTAAAGGGGGAATTCCTATAAACATATCACCAAAACCCTAGCAACAAGTTCAGAGATAAGCACCCGTGCATGTTGAAATAAAGACATCTTTTGTGTGTGTGAGGACCATTAAGTGCTGTTCTAACATAATTATATGTATCAAACATAAAAACACCTTGTCCTTGTTTTACAACAGGGGGTGATCGGTGAGCTGAGGGTGGTGGGAGACCCCCGTGCTGCTGAGAGGCACTGTGAAGAGGATGAGGATGACTCGGATATGGTGAGTGGCGGCGAATCACACTATGAGCACAACAGACTACATGTGATTGAAATGCTGTAGTATGACTGCAAAGAAGAAGAAATACTGTATGTTAGAAAGATAAAACAGCACTTGATGGTCTATCCAAAACCACATGAAGACACAAACACATGAGCAAGTGTTTATATGTTAAAGTAAGCTGTCTAAAGTAAGCTCCAATCATTAGCATGTCTGGCTAACTAGCTTCAATAATTAAGTTAGGGGAGAGACGCCCTGAAGTAATACAAATAATGACATTTTACTGGGCTTTGTTGGTTTATTGCAGCATGCTACATCATAAATCATCAATATCATCAATCTGCAACAGATGACCACCCACACACAAACACAGGTGTCTCACTGCAGCCCATCAGCAGGCTTAAATGTTATTTAGTAAAACATTGCCTTCGCAGCTGTTCTCCTCACGAGACCACCAAAACCTTGCCCTTACTGACAGAACAAGGTTGAAGATTTTACCGCTTGTTGTCAGCAGATCTTTAGATGTTGTCTGGATTAGACGGGAGAATGACATTCTTTGGGGAAATGGCGGGTTTCTGGTTTCAGGATGTGTCTTTTATCGCAAATGATAACCTCACACACAGCTGTATATAGGACACATTACAGGTATTGACTTACCAAGAAGATTTGAATCTAACGGGAGTATGTGAGACCTACTTACCGTATTGTAATCTTTCTGATACAACAAAGACACATTTGCAGTAATAAAGACAACACAGACCACTAAAATAGGGCAGTAATACTGTCACAGAGGGGACAGATAGCATAGAGGTTGTGTAGTTAAAATATATGTACAGGTATCCAGCAAACACACTGCCCTAATTTGCTAAATTCCTTTAAAGCTGACTTGAATTTAACCAAGTGGAATTAATGGACGGACACACACACATTTAAAAGAGCAGTTTCAGATAATTATGTAATAGTCAATGCACTGAATAAAACAAGAAACAGAACATCTTGTAGACATCAAAATTAATTGTGTAATTGGTCTCCTCAGGCGTCAGGGGAAGGAAGCGCCTATGAGGAATCCAGAACCACAAAATCACCCATGGAGAAACATATATGGACGGTATGGAACAACTTTTGTTTATTATTGAGCTCTTTAACTTATTATTAGGGCTGGGCACGTTAACGCAGCTTTTATTATTATTATTTTGAAAGTGTGCTGCTCACTGGCTCTGAAGACACATCCAGTCAAACCATGGGTCACAGGAGGGGGGGGGGGGATAGCGTGGATAGCTACACGCTGCATGCCGATTAGTGTTGGGGAAGATGTCTGTCTAAGGAACATTCTTAAAATCACAACGTAGTCGCTTGGCCCCCGCGGGGTCGTTCTGCGCTTCGGTGTCCAGAAAGGGAGACAAGCGCTCGCGAGTAAACGGCAGGTGCTCTATGGTCTGCAACCATGGCAAAGGCTTCTGTGTGCTACACAGCTGTAGCCTATTTAACTTAAGTTAAAATTAGAGGCTTCATAACTTTACCTGATCGGCCTTCATCTAGTTTTGCGGGGATGCTCTGCCGTGTGAATTCCTGTTTATGTCCTATTTAGTAAAGAGTAATAGATTCTGGAAACTCACAAACAGCGAAGATCAGTCTCTCTTCCAGTGATTTGTGCTGCGCGTCGCGTACAAAAAGTTCAAGACAATTCAGCTTTGGCAGCAGGCGAGCGTGCTTTGTGAGGCGAGCGCTTCACCTCACTCTGACAGGGACACTTGCTACGGAACATAGACTGTTTCTGCTGCTCCCTGATAAAAGAAAAATAGCTTTGGTTTAATATTTGATTTTATTACATTAATGTTTAAGTAGTGTTTACAAGAAATATTTTATTGCTACTGTGTAAAGGGAACACTGCGGGTAAAAAGCACCTTATTTGTTTAAAGTGTTTGCAAACCACATGTTATTGCACTTTAGTGTATATACCAGTACATTTAAATTAAAAGTTCGCAATACACTTCTTTAGAATTCATTATTCAATTTTGCGCATAACTATCCGATTAATAGCAATTAAAAATTTGAATCGTTGCCCAGCACTACCTATTATGAAGGTTACTCACCTGCTGCTGTTTGTGTATCCTCTTCAGTTTGGCTTAATGATGTCTTATTAATAATGCGACTGTTCCTTGCAGTTATTTTGCGGTCCGTACTCTTCTTGTACATAATATTGAAACACTATTGGTTTTGTCACTGGATATTGCTCTGGAACTAAATACGTTTGACTTCATATTGTATATGAACAGCTTATAACAGAGTGAAGAAGAATGAATGAAGAATGCTTTGTTCCCTATGGAGGATTTAAACACCTTATCAAGCCAGACCTGTATACCTGGCTGACAAAGATTATTAGCAGCAGACCGTGCATCTGCAAACCTCCCAGTGTTACATATACCAGTGACGTCTCAAGTTACTCGCAATAAGTGAGTGAACACTCACCCTTCAAGAGAGATTAAAAACTGCTGAGTTGATGTCTAGAAACTGAGCCGCTTCTGTCCGCTTCTACATTTGGGGACGAAGACTTTTTACATACTTTCCTTTTTGTCAGACTAAAAAGGAAATTACTTTTGGGAACTGAGCCTTTTTAAAGACATAATAATAGTATTCCTATGAAATTATTTCGCTAGTTCATTTGCTTTTAGGTGACCAAATATAAAGTAAGGCCAGCAAGAAGACTTTTAGTTTTAGCTTCATTCTTCAGCATAGACTGTGCACGCTGCAACAGCAGAGGATTTACCTGCTTGCAGGTGAGGTGTGTGCGCTCTGGACAGATGCAGCTGCAGACTTATCACCTGGATGAAGGCCATTTCCAAAGATATCACAAGAAGGCCGACAGATAATTGTCTCTTAGCCACCGTGTACTGTTCCGTTCACTTACGCTGTCACTCTTGTGCGATTATTCCCACTATCACCTATGCAGTTTCTCTAAACCTTTGCATGTCATTTGGTGTTTCTCCTTTTGTCAATCTCACTCTGTCCCCCTCCCTTCCCAACCGTTGTCCTTCTGTCTTACTCTCTTCTGTCTAACAGACACCCACTCATGTCTTCCCACCCTGGAAGACAAGTCATGCAGGCTGAAATGTAGCACAGCCTCCACCATGTAACACCACCACAATGTCTGCCACTCAGAAATATAGTGTAGAGTTAGGAAAAACCAGATGTCAATTTGGACTCGATCTGATCCAAGACAGAGCCCCCCACCCCCCGCCTGCCTCAAGGCCTTGTTATTCTGACTGTTTAGTCAATCATCTGTGTAGTGGAACTGACAGAGGTGGAAAGAAAGATAGAGAAGGAGACAGGGAGGGCAGGGTCAGGTATCAAGTCGGAAGTCTCTTCATCATTACTGCTCTATTCTCTGCCTTGATGTTTTGCAACTTTTACAAGGGGCTTTTCCATCTGTTCAGTAGGCATTTATTAGCATCATATAATATGAAATGGAAAAGACAACAGCTGGCATCTAATGCCTACCTGCCGACGTCTTTCCATCTGATGTCTGTTCACAGAACGTAGAACCTACACTCTGCACAATTGTCCAACCAGTGCAATTAAGGCAAGCCTGGGCAGAGACAAGTGAAAAGACGGAGAGCTGTATAAGTGAAACTTTCCATTTTGTCATTCTGGAATTTATGGTGATAGATGGCTGAGCTAGTCAGTCATCCTCAACGGTGTCACTTCTGGAGTCCAAGTGTCCCCATCAGCATGAAGCCCAAACAGTATAATTTTGACTTGATGTTTCAGGTGGAGTTCAGAAACCTACAATGAATGAAAACCTTCATCTTTTACATTCAAGAAGCAGAACAAGCCAGGGAGAACAGAGTTAACATGTTGTAGTGATTAGATGAAACAGAAATCAATGTTGTGTGATTACCCAGTGCTCCACTTAATTAGTCTTAATAGGAGCCTGGGGGGATGCTGTTATAGCTTCATTAAGTGGTTTTCATGGAAGACAAAGAATATGTCAGTGAGGGCAAATTCTAACTCACGTTTGCATTTTTGTTTGCTGTAATGATCCATTTTAATCCATTGCATCAGCAGAAGTTAAGCAGAGGAGCCGTGCCTTTACTTTTTTAAAATACCAAGGAGCTAAAGGATTGGCTAAGATGCACGTTTTGTATTTAGTGTGCTGTTAAGGCTTAATGGCACACAGCAATGCTTGGGGGAAAGATTGCTTCTGTTCAACTAATTTCCAAACCTGCTTCCACTTTATAAACTGCCAGACTGTTTTTCTTTCATCCTTCAGCCAATGACAGAAAATTGTCAAATTCCAGTAAGTTCCCTTTGTGATAGTTAGTAGGGTGTGCTTAAAAAAAAGACAGAAAAAGAAACACCCTACACTGTTGCCGAGGTGAGATATGTTCATTGCCGAGGGAGCTGCATACCTGCTCTTACATTCAGGGGGTTGTGTGGTTCAAATCCATCAACGCCATGTTCTAAAGATCGGAGCCTCCCACCCGTCATCCCCTGCGCTATGATGGATAGTTGAAGGAGTGAACAAGCAGGGTATTCTTTATCACATTAAAACATATATCAACTTAGGACAGTCAATAATGGTCTGGCCAAATTCTTAGCATAGCCCGTGCCGTGCAACGCAGCGGGAAGGAAAATTTCCCGGAGAGGAAACTAGTTAATTATCAACACTGGCTTTGTCCCTTCAGCTGCCCCCCCCTCTCCTACATTCTTTATCCCGCTCCTCTCTTCAATTCTTCAGGTGACAAAATCCAGGGTGTGTCACAGGTGAAGAATGAGGTACCATTTTATTAAGATTGGAAGTTTGGGAGCATAAGTGACCCCACCTCCCCCAACCTTCCCCCAACTGTGTTTTTAGTAATGGAAGATTGCTGATAGACTGGAGTCTAACCTGTCTTTCATTTGTCCACAATCACACTTTACTATATAGGCTACAACAACAAAAACAATAAAAATTTATACAAGTCATAGAAAGGCGTTACAAAACTCACACACCGCACATCCTTCCCTAAGTTTAACCCCTTTAATTTGATTGAATAGTTCAGTTATGCAGGTTAAAACTGGGGTTTGGAGTGACAGCTATGAGGTGACCACACACATACACACAAATACACAAAAATGAATACCAGTGAAGTTTGGTGTGTGTCATTTGTATTGCAAACAAACTCAATTGTTGTGCTTTTAGTGTCACTCTGGGTAATGATACTTAGCAGGGTGACTGACTGCGGGGGCTGTGTTCCCTGGCAGTCTTCATAATGTTCACTTAAAGAGGAGTTTTGCAACAGGGCCCAGGCATGAGATGTCTGACAGCGATTAACATATAAACTGCAATTATGGAAAACAGCAACAATTTGCCAAAAGACAAAGAAAGGAAAGGTTTTGTTCTTTCCTTTGGTTGCCATGCACATGTTGACTCCATCATGCCTAAAAAAGCTTGTTGAAGAGCTGGGAAGCAGTCTTGTTAGTTGGGAAGAGAGCTTTGGCTGCACAAACTATAAACATCACTGCAGTTGAATGGTAACAGTGTCGAAACATGAGTAATTTTCCTTGAGATTGTTTGGGATTAATGTTAACGGGCCGTACTTTTTCCCATGCAGTGACATTGTTCTTACATTTTTTACCGAGACCCCTAAATGTAGCGGGGGGTAACAATGGAAATAAAAGGGCGTCCCAGCCATAAAATCTAGAGCCTGCTTAATGCAGCTTCCAGTAAATGTCATCCATTGTACTTTTTAAATATGCATTTCTCTCTGTTGCATGATTACTTTCCTGCAGACCACTCCCAAGTCTTCCCAGCCCATTCCGCCACCTCTGACAAGGAAAGAGGAGGTTTCGAATGCAAGAGAAACAGGTGAGTTTATCAGGACAGAGTCAACACTTCCTGAAAAGAGACCTGCTGGCATTGAGACATCAGCACCAACTCGAGACGGAATATTGTTTGTGTTTCTGTATTACTTCTGGACTGGAGTTTTTTTCAGTCAAAAACTTTAGTGTACTGTTTTTTTTATGCAAGAGCCCTTCGGAGTGTTTTTACAGATGTCTTTGGATACGACCCCTTTCTGTCTACCACATATCACTGTCTTTCACTAAGTTATCATTGTAATTTCAAAGATTGAAAATAGATGTTGTTCCTTAACACGCTGACATGTGGCTTGGCTCACTGGTTAGGTATGGCAGAGAATGTTTATGACAGCACATGGCGTTGCAGAGTTCATGTTCCTTGAGCTGGTCAGAGCTGGCGACAAACAGATTCACTGACAGATGTCTCCATCTAGTGGACATAAGGATTAATGCAGTTTAGGGGTTGGAAGACTGATTTGTTACGAGCACTGAAGTGTCAGTGCAGGTGTTGCTTGTTGTGTGAATTACATTAAAATAAATAATTCTCAGTTTTAATTTGGAGCAGACAGATGTTCACGTTTGAAGATATATTGAACATGTCCCTATGTTCTACCCTCCAGGGTTAAAGATACCTTGTGAATACTTTGTCCCCACCTTACCAACAGAGAATGTGAAACAGATTTTTGTCTGCTGCTACGTACTGTATTGTCTAAATTGCACATACTTACAGCCACTTTGTGTAAAATTTAAAAATGTCTTGTGCCATCTGGCGGCAGTGGCATGGAGGGCAGAATGGGCCCCAGATTCATATCAAAAACGTTGGTCTCAGTTGTATCCACTGAGGCACCATTGTAAAAAGTGTTCAAGCGTCACAGTACAGAACAATATTACATTTGTATGAACAAATCATGAGCGGTAATGCTAAATATAAAGATGTAGGTCTATGACAGAGCACTCAGGAACTCAGTATTAATCATCATCATGTTATGTCATTAAAAAAAGAAGTTGTTTTGTCTTTTAGAGAAATAAGACAGATAGAGACAGATAACTCTCTTGAGCACTGTATCTTCAAAAAATCTGACTTTCACCATGAAAATGTATCTAGAAACTGGGAAGAAGATTATCTAGTCAATTTCAAATTGAATAAAATAATACTTGTACCCATATTTTTAAATTGTGCTAAATTTACACTCGCAGTCTACAGAGCTTGAGATTTAACCCCAAAATGCTGCAAAAATCAGTGTATGTTGAAATTTTTAGGCACTTTACTGTATATCAGTATTCTGTTGCTGTTTTGTATCTAGGTTTTACTTGAGATGGCTTTGCTACTACAGTAGTAATTAGAATAAAGAAAATAATACTTAAAGTAATATATACTTTTTAATTGCTTATAAGGTCATGTCCTGTGTTGATAATACATAAAACCATGTCACGTCCTGGAGCATCCACGTAACTGGAGACTTAATTTAACACTGTCTTTTGCGTTGTGTTCAGCAAGTGACTCCCAACACGTTTCAGTATCTGTGGAGTCCAGGCCCGGACTTCCTGGGTCACCAGGTGGGTCGATAGGGGGTTAAAAACAGAGACACCAGCATTCAAAGCTGTTTTCCCTTTTTTATTCTCTGGGTTCTGCTATGTTCTTCTTACTTCATGTGTACTCACCTTGCACGATCACAAGACGATTCGTGTGAATTTCAAAAACACACAAACACAAGAATGCATGAATCTATGTACTTTGTGCTTTTGAAATCACGTGGGGTGGTGAGCATGTTTGTATATAAGCCAGGGGGATGAAAAATTGGGCCGTTCAGGCTGTAATCCCATGCAAAAAATATCTGCAAAGGGAGAAAATAGAGGAGCTCAATCGAGAGAGGAGGATAATAGCAAAGGCGAGAAAATGGAAAAAGGATGGGGGAACAATTTCAGTTAATCGTCGCTTAGATTTACATTTCTTAAAAGTAAGAGGACCGGACAAGCAGGGGTAGTAGTGCATATTAGCTTAGGCTAGTGATGCTATGATATGTGGCATTACGTTTTCAGTGAATATTATATGCTTATGTGTCCATTCAGAGGCATGGATCCTTTTTTCTTTAACCCCTAAACTGAAAACCCTAAAGTGAAAGATTGAAACAGCCAGCTTGAAGGGGACAACATTGCACTGTGTATGTCAGCAGTTATGGAGATGGACAACTTCTACACAACTGATGGAGTGGGCTGCAATTCCTACAAGCTCCACTGGAAGTGACACATTCAGTTTAAGGTCAATTAGCTCACACCAGAAAATAAATCTCAGCATGGCAGTGCATGCAGGTGTGGGAAGGTGTATTCAGTTACCACCTGAAAGCCTTCACATGGCCTTTAAATTACAGCCGTGCACAGTGGGATTCTCGCTCCATCAAGCAAAAAGTCATTTCCTTTTTCCTCTTCTTCTTTTTTCCCCTTCTTTTGGGTGCAGGAAATGTTCTGTTTATTGTTTGGGGTGTTGGATACAACCATTAATCTTTTTTGAAAGGCCTTTTCATGAGGGTATTAATGACTCTGTCCTTTGTTGTTTATTTTCAGGGCCAGTTGGAACTAAAGGAGAAAAGGGCGACAAAGGGGAGAGAGGAGACAAAGGAGACAGGGGTCCAATAGGGCCGAAGGGAGAATCCGGCTCCAGCACTGGCTCCAGCTCACGGGGTGGAGCCCGTGGAGAGAAGGTTCGGACCTTATTTTATATTCTACTTTGATAACGGATGGAATATTGTATTAGACAAGTCAGGGAGAGTGAGAGTTGGGATGCAGTGATGGTGCAAGTTTTTTTAACCCAGTTTGTCCTTCTGAAGTTTGCAGTGGGCACTAAGTTAGCTGGTAAAGGTATGAGCAAGGACAAGTAACAGCAGTGATGTGAGGTTACGTGAAATGTCCCAAAGGAACACCAGAGGGAGCTGCAAGTCCTAATTTTATGCAAGCATGTGCAATACAGTCTCAAAGCCATGTTTTATGTTTCATTTGATTCATTTCAGTCCTTACTGTACTTTTTTTATTTTTAAAGTATACAGTGTGCATCTAGTTATTTTGCTTTACCAAGGCCAAATGTCCTCATAAAATTTGTTTGTTGGGAGTATTGTTGTCTTGACTGACTGGTTTGGTTTTCTTCTGTCTTTAAAACAACATACACACAACATGCTTGTCCAAATATACACAAAAAAACAAAATGAAGATTAAAATCCAGCAGGGGACATGGCCATACAAAGACAAAAAATGTTCAATCAATCAATCAAACAAAAGTGTGACACAGGACAAACACTCAAAAACACTAAAAGTTACATTTATGTTATGATTAGGCTAAAGTGCATTGGTCATTGGGATACAGTTAGAAATAGTTTTGAGGTTGGTGTTACTAAAGCAGGACCTAATACAGATGTTTGAGTGTGTGAAAACTCTCCAACAAGTGGATGTGTCACATTAGGCAGCCAATAAAGACTGTTGGCGCTGACCAGGCACTGTTTCCTCTTTTCACTTTCAGGGGGAACCAGGGGAAAAGGGAGCAAAGGTAAGTAAGAGTGTTTTGTGTGGCTGTTGGATCTTCGACTAGAAGTTCTAGAGACGTGTGCAAGTTACCCAGCATTAAATAGGGACTGTTGGTCTTTGCCAAGCTCAATCTTAGGAACATAAGAAACAGCTGCTAACTTCTATGATTTCTTTGAAGTTTTAACCTTAGTTAACACTTCTTTACTAGACATGGATCAATCCATCGGCGTCGGCAGGTCATTTTTCCGACTGTATCCACGATTGTAATTCAACAACAACAACAACAACAAAAAGATTTTCCATGTTGATATGTAATAATCTTCATGAGGCAGCCTGTCTCGCAGGTCTTCAAAGAACAGAGGCTACTCACAATAATATTGCTAAGTTTTGTTTGAAGTTCACGTAAAGTGAAAATTTGCTACACAAACGGTTAACTGTCCGCCGCAAATAGTGACACCTGTCGCTCTCCGCGCTGTCTCTGTCCTCCTCGCTCAGAAACACCTTTGCTCTGATTGAGTGAACTGAACTTTATCAGAGCTGCTAAAGTTAACATTTGTGTGGATAGGCTATGTGGTGAGGTTCCTGTCTGATCACAAGTGTTTCAGTTTCGGTTTTCTACCGCTGATGAAGAGCAGTGAGCTTTTCTCATCCAGTGAAGTTCAACACGGATTCTGTGTCTGTTAGACTGATCTAAAAGTGATCAGCAAAGCAATAACACAGGCTAAATTGTTAAAATATTATGACTATTTATTAGATTGTGATTTTATTCTCGTAATATTACAACTTCTCAAAGTATTATCCTGCAAATGTCAGAGAACACAGATCTGTGGGAGAGATTTTGAATGTGCAGAAAGTTTTGAACATGAGCAGAAAAGCTGCTGAAACACAGGAGCTATTAAAGTCCAGGAGTTTATAACTTAATTAAAATGTATTAATTTATCATGGAGGTGTAAAGGTGCAACATGGACATTTAAAGATTTTAGGCTACTTCAGGCATGCCCACATGTGTGTTGACTCAACAGGGATGAAATTAAATAAGTTCATCTACAGGAGAAACATTTCTGACAGACTAACAGAATACCTGAGAGCCTTACTGCATTATATTACACCATGTTTTTTTAGTTTGAATTGTCTTGTGAATGTTGGGTTTCCTTTTATGTAAATAGACATTTCCTCAATAATTTGGTGCAGAATAATTCACCAGAATGCAGGAAATTACGCCCCATTCTTTATAAGCAGACAATGTACTGCAGTCCTTAATAAGTAGCTGTAATTAAACCTTTTCTTAAAAAGCCCACTCTTGATCCAGGGATTTTAGCCAACTATTGACTATCTAAACTTCCCTTTCTCTCTAAGATCCTTAAGAAAGCAGTTGAAAATCAATTGTGTGACTTTCTACATAACAGTAGTTTATTTGAGGATTCAGAGCGCATCATTGTTGGGTCTCTGGAAATAATATTACAAAGAATACGGCCTAGATGTGACAGGATAGTATTGGACTGCTACAATACAAAGTACGTATGTAGCGAGATAGGTGGGTTTTTAGTTAGAAAAACAGGAGGCTCACCGTTCAGTTTGGAACTCACTAGCAACTGGGACAGGAACAGAAACCCCTCAGAAGTTGCCTAAGAATCCAACGTTTTTTAAGATTTCTTCAGTATCAAATTAATTCAGTGATAGTTGTCAGAATATCCAATGGTACACAGGAAACATGAAATGTTATTAGTTAAATCATACACGGATTAAAAGGTTCGGGTAGCTTTTGTTCAGCCTCTCTACAATTTTTCGATCTGACCTTTATTTTCTTCATGAGATGGAGGAATTTAGAAAGGGATGGATTTTAGGCTATGCGTAAAATCAGGAGCATCGTCCAGTGCGCCTGTTCCACCGGCACCACAAACCACAGTAGGTCTACCGGGGAGGGGGTGGGGTGCTGGACCGTACAGAGAGAGAGAGAGAGAGGAAGTCTCGGGAGCGAGCTGGTGCGCTGTGGACGGTCGGTGATCGTTCCCTCTGGTTCGATGAAGCCCGACACAGACCACAGCTGTTGCAAATAGCAGGCGCACATGTACAGCAGCCTGTTAGTTTGAAAACCAGTAGGGATACAACACCGATACAGATAGAACAAAACGCAGCTGTTTTGGTTTTCCGTTTTGGTTTTAAAACAGAAAAACCAAAGAACGAACCATACACGGACTGGACAACTTATATTTTGCATTGTTCTTGTTTAATCACTGAGGCTTCTTTATCTCCAGGGCAGTGCAGGCTTTGGCTACCAAGGAAACAAGGGAGAACCTGGCCCTGCTGGCCCCCCTGGCCCCCCTGGCCCTCCAGGGCCCGCAACTGAGTTTTCAGTAGGCAGTGACGGCTCAGTTGCTTCAACAGTCCCGGGACCCCGAGGACCAGCTGGACCACCTGGCTCCCCGGGCCCCCAGGGACCACCAGGAGCTGATGGAGAGCCAGTTAGTAGAATGCAGTTGAATTCTTAGCGTAGCGTAAAGCAAATCTTTTGTTACATGTTCTGTTGAGAGAAGTAGTTTGGTTTAATGTAGTTTCATTACAAAATTTTATTTAGCGAATTATCCTTTTAATTTCATTCTTTATTTCAATCTCACAGGGTGATCCTGGGGAGGATGGAAAAACGGTAAGTTTGTTTTTTTCTTGCACTATACCAACAACAGTGATAAATGTTTTAAACTCTTATCAGTTGTCAAAACGTTTATGTGATGGTTGTTAAAAGTAGATACATATTAATTTACTTGGATTTAACTTATTTAACATTATTGTATTTCCTCAATGTAGGGTGCTGATGGACCTCCAGGCTTCCCAGGAACCCCAGGTGACCCTGGACCTAAAGGAGAGAAGGTGAGATGCTTAGTTACACTAACAGAATAACAGAAACAAGATTGTAAACATTTACAAAGTACAGAAGAAAAAAATAGAAAAATGATTTGAGTTTAAATGGATATATCTGTTGTAGAAATCCACCTTGTGTTAATGAGTCTTGTGCGTACAGGGAGACCGTGGTGAGGGTCAACCTGGACCCAGGGGACCTCCGGGACCTCCAGGACCAGGATTCAGATCTGTGAGTTAATCTTGGCGTCAGTTATGTGCTGCGTAACTTGTATCAGCAAGAGACTGTCTGCCTTTGTTAATCGTTTGTTGATTCCAACTGATTTAAGTTCATTTATTTCAGACTTTTGTGGACATGGAAGGATCAGGGTTCCCTGATTTGGAATCTGTTCGGGTGAGACGGATTGAAATTTTAAATAGTTCTCTCAGCAGTAAACTATGTACAGGACATGATCGTTGTTGTGGTAGTACACTGTAACCAGCATCTGTAACTGCAGTGAAGATGAATTGTTTGCGAAAGACATTTCTGTTATTATAGATTTGCCTTTATATATTTATGTAAAGTAGCAAAATATGCAAAAGGTTTCTTTTTTTGTTATAGGGACTGCCTGGTCTGCCCGGCCCCCCTGGTCCCCCTGGTCCTCCTGGTCCCTCTACAGCAGGCACAGCAATGGGTTCTGGGGCGTTCGGACCACCAGGAAAGGACGGGGCGCCCGGTAAACCTGTAGGTGTCAAGTGTGTTTGTCTCTCAACACCAGTAGTCAAAATGTTCTCTAAACCCTCAAACTGTCTGGACTGTGATGAAAGTAACTGTACAGTCTAACCAAATCAACAAATACTGTATACCTGAACCAAATATTTCGGACTCTAGGGCTTGCCTGGTTTGCCCGGTAAAGATGGTGTCTCTGGAGTTCCTGGTCCCAAAGGAGAAAAGGTAATGGTAATTGTTTATTCTGTAAAAATCGTAGTGTAAACACGAGATGGTTAAAGTTTAACTGAAATTAATATTCAGTTTTGCTGAAAGTACTGTTTGTGTTTGTTGAGAATTTTGGTATAAACCTAATTTTAAATTACATAATTTGATTGACAGCTAACGCTAGCTTGACCGTTCTATAATACAGGCCAAACACAACACTGTGTTTGCGGGAGCTACCACTGACTCAGCAGTTGTTGAAATAATGTTAAAAACTAACAAAAACAACTAATGTGTATTGGGAATTAGTGGGCTAGGCAAGTCTAGGACTAAGCAAGCTAGCTTGCACTTTCCGAGAGAAAGCCAGTTAGCCCAGCTTGCTAGCTTTTCTTTTCCGTCGTTAAGTTAGAAAAACTAACTTAACAACAGTCCTCTCACATGTTAAATGTTGCTAATTGTACATAAGCAACAGGAGAGCTTCTTGAAAATTTGTTTGTATCAACATGTGTAGGCTATAAATGGCTAAGACGTGTTCCAGTCAGTTGTGCATCATGGTAGTTGGTAGTTGACAGGTGACACCATAGATATCCATAATAAAGGCTAGATGTCTCGTCCGCGCTGCAGGCCAATGGAGGTCGACGTCTGCACCTGACGGCCATCTTGTCACAGGCAGCTCGCTCACTCGTAACATTGTGTTTTAATGGTGCATGTACTTTTTAAATAACCATAACTTCCTCAATTTTATACCGATTTTCAAACGGTTTGGTTTGTTATAAACGTCAGAGATGTAGTTATGACTCTGCACACTTATGAATAATTATAACCATGGACTTTCATATGAAAATAACATTGAACAGAACAGATAGGTGCAATGAATATACAAGCACAAGGTATTTATGTTAAATCAATATATAGGCTATTAAAACTCAAAATGGCAACATTATTTATTTATATATATATGGGCTGTCAAATCACATCCAAAATAAAAGTTTGTGTTTACATAATATATGTGTGTGTACAGTGTATAATTATTTTTAATATATAAATACACACATGCATGTGTATTTAAGAAATATTTGCATGTATATACTGTATATAGACTTGTATATGTATATGCCAGACCTGGTCTGTATGTATATATAATGTCTATTTTATATAAATATAAACATTTTATATAAAATTAACAAATTTTTCTTAAATATATACATGTGTGTGCATTTCGAATTTCAAATCGTTATTGGTGTCTGTAAAACCTATATAATTGAACAGCTCGATTGTGGTCTCAGCCTTGATAACATGCGCAAGTAGCCGTGATACACAACTATGCTGCACGATTAAGTCGTTTCTCGAAAAGAAAATCTGCAATTTCAACATGTTCAAGCATCCAGAATTATAGCCACGTTAATAACGTTTGTAAGAAACCAAACCGTTTGTAAATCCGTCGAGATTTGTGTTCGTGCTGATTATTAGGTACCACAGAGAACGCCAGTAAGCTTGCCTGTGACAAGATGGCCGCCGGTGATGACGATAGAGACTCCGCCGTAAGACATCTAGCCTTTATTATGGATATCTATGGGTGACACACCACAGTCAACCGCTGACATGGTAACTGCCCACCCAGAGGCTTGAAGCTTATGTCCTGCGATGGGTTAACATGTTTTGTCTAACTCTTTTCCCCACACTAGGGTGATTCAGGTGAGCTGGGTTTACCTGGAGCAGTTGGACAGAAGGTGCGGTTTTATGAACTTAATTGTTTTCCTTTACTTTCCTTCAACTTCACCATAATGTTGCCACAGCTTTACAGTAAGATCTACACTTCAAAATACAGCTGAATGTTAATTGCTCCTGTTGTAACCAGTATTAGAGACATTTTATTGCACATAATCCTGAGAATAAAGTACATCAATAGTAAGATGCTGGCGGGCCTTTGGGATACTAGAACTGTGTAATGGTGCCGATTTGACAATTAGAATGATGCATCAACTTTCATCTAACTATTAAAGCTTTTCTCATCGCTCTCATTTCTCTAGCCAAGCTCCTACTTTTCTTTTCTCACCAATCTGCTCCCTCACTATTTATCCTCCTCCTACTTTCCTAAGCCTTCCGATCTGCAGGTTACTGGGCTGCAGCACGTCAGCCATCAAAGGGGATTTGTGTCTTCTAACAATATGCAAATGTTTGTCAAATATTGTCAGCTACAGACTTGACTTAAAGTTTAATGCGTTTAATGAGTGCTGGCTATGGTTTAGTTACGTCTGAATTTGGTCCAAGAACTGCTCTTGCAAGTACTGATAGTCCCTAAATGCTGCATGACACAGGTATCAGTAGTTTTGTGCAGGATGCATGATATTTCTGGCAATGCATTCAAAAAGTCCACACTACCTTAAACTATGATTATGTGCACTTCACTGATTTTACTGTCATTCCATCTTACAGGGAGCTCAAGGAGACTCTGGTTTACCAGGGCCTGCAGGAGAGCCCGGACTGGCTGGTCTGCCTGGACCTATTGGACCAGTTGGGCCACCTGGGCCTCCCGGGCCTCCTGGACCGAGTTATCGGGTTGGATTTGTAAGTTCTCTATTCATTTTGGTTAAGATGTATTTTGATAGAGTGGACACAGTCTCACAGTAATCTGAGAAATCTGCAATTTGGTTGTCTGGAACGGTTCACCAGCTCGTGATGAAATAAATGGAGATGTGAAAAGAAATTCTATAATAGTAGAAAATTCTATGTATTGACAGCTTTAGTGGAGACACTGTGGTGTTTCTATCAGAATTCAACTGTCAGAAAGAACCCACGTGGCAAAATGGATGGCACAGGACAGAACAAAATAATAATAATAAAAAAAGGTTTTTTGGCTGTTTGTTATAAGATCTTTTTTGGTGTTTGAAGGATGACATGGAGGGCTCTAGTGGAGGTTTTACCAATGGACTTCCTGGTATCAGAGGACCAGAAGGAAAACAGGTCAGTATTGATGAAATACTTTGCGTCCTGTGGAAGATGATATAAATATATTAAATTATTCACAGTACAAAGTAAAATAAGCAATAGATCCACCTTCTTGAAATTCTGAAAGTCATTTTTTCCTGATATCACAAGCCAGAGTATGTCTGACACCAGATCTGGTGGCATCACAATGTTAGATAAAAGTCCTATTAAATGAGGAAGATAGGGATTTTGAAAAATAGAAAATTTGATTATAAGATTAGTGTTTCCCCGTTTTGCTCTTTAATTCAAATCAGGTCTTATGTAAGGTGAAAGCGTACTTGGTTCAATTGGTGATAGTCCATTTATTTAGTTATTTAAGTGCAGTTTGTCTTGCTGCTATGATAAACATCTTGGTGTAGCACAGATAACAGAAGTTATGAAGCGATAATGTCTCGACAACAACTACAACCAATTGCAAAGAATTCATGGGAGTAATAACAAAAAGCTGCATATCTTGAACAAGCAAACTGGTTAACAGCTACACCCAACACATGTTTAATCAATTTGTTTAATGGTTTTAATCTTTTTATAGTAAAGGTTTATCATATCTGATTAGAAAGAATCATTAATTCTATAAGACCCACATGGCATTTATTTTGGACTGGTCTACATTTTACTGGTCCAAGAACCGGTCCAAAGATTTTTAGTAGGAGCTTGTAAATAACAAAAGCAAACGTGTCTTCTTTCAGGGTCCTCCTGGCTTGCCTGGACTTCCGGTAAGTAACTTTGATTTGATTTGAACTGACACATTTTTCCAGCTCATAGGAATCTGTCATGAGCTGGTCCTCATGGCCCCTACTCTAACTCACATGGGTTTCCCACTTCTAAAGCAAACTAATGGATCAAAATGAGTATGTGAAATTAGTGGAAACACACAAACAAGCCTGAGATACAGCTACCTGGGACTCAGGTGTGTTAGGGCCCCTGTGCTCCCTCAAGTGTGTTAAAGAGTTTATTCAAAAATCAGCTTTGGTTCTCGGCTGCATTGTTGCTACTCTTCTGTCATTTAACCTTTTAGTTTTATAAACCATTGATTTAATGTTTGGAAAAATACGCTGCAGCTTTATTGATGTATAAAGAAACAGAAAAAGGAAAAAAAAAGAGACAATATGAGAACACAAAAAGTAACTACTTTTTCAGTTACTCTGGTTTTGTCTACCTCCGCATGATGGACCATATGAACTGCCAAAAGTAAAGCAATAAGCAGAAAGTAGCCGAAAGCTGCATAGAGTTGGGCTTTGATTTCCAGTGGGCTCAGGTGCACAAGCAAACAATGCTCATTATGGGCACTTATGTTGTAGAAACTTTTTGTGTGTGTTTTTACTGAATTTTGTTTCACTGGTGTGACCTGAATGTACCTCTGCAGGGTAAACCTGGGTTCCCGGGTATTTTAGGTCAGAAGGGCAATGAAGGTCCTGTAGGAAGAGATGGGCAACCTGGATTGGATGGCTTCCCTGGACCTCAGGTAAAAGAAGGATTTTCCCTCCTTATCTGGCACTCTGACAGATATAGGATTATTCCATGCACCAGCTGGGTCGGCCAGAGGTCACATAGTAACCTGTGTGATGTAACAGAGCATTTGGTTTACCATGTTACACTACAGACGGTGCAGGCTGTCAAATTATGGATAGTTGACTTTAAAGGATAGTTTCTTGTTTCTTGGCAGCTTCTCACTTTTATATAGCTGACTTCATAACAATGTCATAACCTAAAAAGACATGGGGCAAAATATTTTCCTTTCTCAAATATTTATGTTTATGGAATAGTCACCCCATGATTGAGTACATTCTAGCTTAGTAAGTGATTATTTGTTTTTTAAGGAACAGCAGCCAAGTATGCAGCCTTAAGTCAAACAAATGTTGGCACTATGCAGTTATAGTAGTGTCAGCCAATGTTGTAAGAGTAACTCTGACAGAGGGAAGGAAAAGTTGGAAAAACATTTTTTGCACGTCCTGCTGCTGTTTCCAGCAGCGCATAAGTTAAATCACGGTTTAGCTTTAGTATCAGGAAATAACTGCTTTAAAAGATATTATCATATTGGGACTTATAACCCAGTATAAGCATGACCTCGGACGAACTCAAGGTTCACTTACTAGCATTTTCCAGAGCATTTGATGGTCTTCACCAGTGGATGGGTTCTGTTTCGTTGTCATGGAGATGGCTCAGTTGTTATCCATATTTCCAAGGCAAACTTCATCCACTGACAACGATACTGAGATGTGGATAATAAATAAACCCAGAGTGAAGATTATTTTTGAAAATACATCCAATATATTTAGCAGCAGTGTGACGTGCATCATTTGGATGTCTGTTGAAATGTTTTGATTTGATAATGGTAATATTTAATCTTTTATGTGCATTTCTTAAACATTTTAAAACAACCGAAGGGAATGTATCTTTGATATTGAAAAAAAGCTTTTTCAATTGAGTCAAGATGTTGAGCTGCTTAAATAATAACACAGAAATTTAATTATTTTAATGTAGTATTTTATTTAACATGTTTATCGTGTAATAATATAATAGATGCAGTGGGTTTGTTGTCTTCAATGAATGAAAATGTTGTTCCTGTTATCTTTCTGATCTATCAGATCTGATCCAGGTATTTGGACATACAATGCTTTCATCTTTTGTCTCATTCTTCTTTAATTCTACAGGGACCAAAGGGTGAGAAAGGGGACAAAGGAGAGAGGGTGAATATCATTTTTAACCCTGAATATCTGATTCTTTATATATTATGTTTACTACAAAGTGCTTCACATGTTTCTTTGTAGTAAATTTGATCTGTCAAACCATTAAAGACTTCTTAAAAAGATAAAACCCTACTTTTTGTTACCTGTTTTAAAGATATTTTTATTATGTATAGAATAGAATAGAATAGAATAGAAATCTAAAGCTGTGTCATATTGAAATTAGGTTAATTTCCAGTTATTTATCTTTTTGCTGTCCGTGTTGTGGTTTTAGGGTGACGCAGGTCGAGATGGAACCGGACTCCCAGGTCCACCCGGCCCACCTGGACCACCAGGACAAATCGTCTACCAGACATCCGGCAATGTAAGTAACAAACAGCGTGCGCAGTGGCAGACGTGCAGAAAAGCAACATTTGAAAAGTAATAAATGAGCAATGACATCTTCATTTTCTTTGTGTCACTACAGTTTGATGGTGGTGTTGGCAGGGTTGGGTCTCAGGTTTGTACTCGTGTTTATACAGTAACACTGTAACGTAAAACAACTCTGATGTAAATACATTATATTTATTTTACATGTATGTGGGACTTTATGGTTGTTGTATTCTTCATTTTGCCATCTTTTTAAAAAAGTTCACATTGGTACTACAGATGATACGCTACTCTGAGTGGTTGTGTTTGGTCTAACCATTCACTTTGTACACTTAATTTAGCTTTTTACAGCACATATAAAGTTGACTGTGCACTTGTAATTATAACCGTAGAGTGGGCTGTCAACTGAGATGTGACATCCACACATGGTGAAACGTGCAATTAACTTTTCTGTCTTAGGGTGATTATGGAATCACTGTTGTCAAACTTTATTTGAACATAGGACTGCTGTCATTAATGCCTTTGCTTTATTAAATATAATTCAATTCAATTATTTATATAGCGTCAAGTCACACCAACAGTTATCTCAGAGCACTTTTCATAAAAGAGCAGGTCTAGACCGTACTATGTGATGATATTTACAGAAACCCAACAGTTCCCACCAAGAGCAAATATAACCACAAAAGAACATCTGTTTCCAGTTTAATGTATTATCAAAGACTGCTGTATACCGGCACCTGCACTTATTTCACAACCTACATTTTAGAATGAGTCAGGGCAACAGCAAGTTGTGTGTGGATTTGCTTGTACATTCAATACACTGTTTTATGTTTTCCTGTACAGGGAGGACCTGGTTTACCTGGTCAAGCTGGATTCCCTGTAAGTGTCCCTATGTTACATAATTAATGTACCTTAACTTTATTATAACCGTAAATGTGAAGTTAATTTACTGATTGTTAAATCCTGTTGTTAATTAAAACTTAAAATTTTTTTTTTTTTTTACTGTAAACAAATCCCATTAAAATACCAAAACCAACAATGTGTTAATCCACCTATCAGTACTTTCCAACGTCCCTACCTTGTCTGGCGCGCTCAGTCTCAAAACAATTCACTCCTACTAAAGATGCAAGTGGGGTCACAAATATAAAGTGAATTAAAGGCCCTGAAAAAGCCACGTTGTCCTACATAAACTCACTATTTTCAGCCGAAGTTTGAACAGATCTGGTTTGAAGTTGGTGCTCAGTTAAGTATTTCATTGCACCAAACAGGATTGGACATTTGCATTTGATTTGAAACACGTGATGACTGTTGTTGGGGTGATGCTGCCAGTCCACTGTTCTGATCGAACCACACCCACGCGGTCCTGACGAAGCAGATCAGTTCTCTTATTACTTAGGATTTGAAACCACGTTTTCAGGGGCGTTAAGCGAGCAACAAATGTCACTCTGTAGTATAATCATTCCATTTTGGCACTGCATTGCTCAAAGAAGTTCACAACAACATCTTGCCAACTTATTTCCACACTATGTAAACAGTGGTCCACTCAGCAATGCAAACGTGGAAGGGCTGATCTTGCTGGCTTGAATTGATCTAGGGAGACTTTCCTGATGCCAAATGGCTGTTACTCTGATCTCTTGTAAGTTAATAAATCTTATATTTATCTTTATCTTGCAGGGTCCTATGGGACCAAAGGGTGACAGAGGAGAACCCGGCCATCCAGGCTCTGCAGTGAAGGTAAAGTCTTAGTTATTTGTATGTTCACCTATTATTTTAGACACTCACCATCAAGACACTGCTGTAATTAAGTCTGTGTTGTCTCGTTGCTGCTGTTCAGGGTGAGAAAGGTGAGCCTGGCTTAGTGATCGGACCGGATGGAAATCTTCTGTCTCTGGATGGGCTTAGAGGTCTGAAGGTAAGGCGTCTGTTTTGTCTCTCTCACACAATAAGGCAAACATGCAAATACAAACACCACTCCTCTAACTAATGCTTCCTGAACCCTGTCTATAGGGAGACAGAGGACCTCCTGGACCTGTTGGACCCCCTGTAAGTCTTTGAGCATTTCTATTTAAGATATCTGCACTCTTTCCACTACAGTCTCCAGTCAGCTCACATCGTGTTTTATTTGATGATTTACTGTTGTAGGGTCCGTATGGGCCTGCAGGATTAAAGGGTGAAATGGGAATGCCAGGAAGACCTGTAAGTACACCTTCCTTGGTGTCTTATATTTGTATATGTTCAATATGTAATACTGTTCTTTATTTATATTCCTTTTGCTGAACTATTGTGCATTTCCGTACTGACATTTTAATCCTATTGTTTCTGTTTTTCCGAGTTCAGGAATATATTAATCATTAAGTTTCTCCCCCAAGGGTCGCCCTGGTGTAAATGGATACAAGGGTGAGAAAGGAGAGGGAGGAGCCGGCTACGGCTACCCAGTAAGTGTTAATATTATTACCAATACCTGAGATATGCTCATTTCACAGTGGCAGAAGTTACAAACATTTATCTAAATAAATATGTCAGAGGCTGCACGCCTCTGGAGCAACAAGGGGTTAAGTGCCTTGCTCAGGGACACAATAAGGCATGTGTCACAGTGGGGAGTTGAACCCGGGTGTCTCACACCAAAGGCATGTGTCTTATCCACTGCGCCAAAGCTACCCTGCCACAGATCAGCTGGAGAAATCCCAATGTAGTACCAATAACACATGTCTCTCTTTCAAGAACACAACCCCTGTTTAATGTAACAAATGTCAGCTGTTCTGCTCTGTACTTGTGTCTCGTCCGATCACATGGTTTGTGCACTGGCATTCTTTTTGAATTGAAATGAGCTGCTACATACATGAAAATTACTCAGTGAATGGATGCTTCCAGAGTGAGCATCCTGAAAAGCTGTGCATTTCTCAGACTTGTCAGTGTTTGCCTAATACTCACCACTGCCACCAATCATTTTGATCTATACACCAAACAGTGTGAAAGAGTGAATAACTTTGTTTTCATCAGGGAGTCCCTGGCCAGCCAGGGCCACCTGGACCACCTGGACCCCCTGGGCCAGCTGTTCCCTTAGATCGCTTCAATGTGAGTAGACAAGATCACAAACGTCCTACGCTGAACTAAGTTTTGGACATTTATATGGACCAGTTAGTGTTATTGGTTGTCTGTAACACAAAGTTCATGTCTCTCATGTGCCCTCTCTCTCTCATATATCATATTGATCATGTTTGAGTCATAAAGCCAATTAACCAGTCATTATCTGGTGCTTTTGTTCTGTTGTTTAAGCCTGGTAGGCTGGTGAAACTAGTGAATCAGTTGCTAATTGCATAATTTATTATATACCTTAGACACTTATTTTCCTCTGTTGTTGCTGGAATTGCAAAATTGAGCATGTTGTCTGTATCTGTTCATAGCGCTATGATGAAACTTCAAGGAGTTACCAAGGTATGACCTCCAACACACACCAATACTGTAAGATTGAGAGGTATAATAATGTTAAGTTAAGTAAATGTGCCAGTCATGGGAAGGGAGCTTTAGAAAGGGTTTAAAGTGTCTGCAGAGATAAACAATTCAGTTTGATCCAGCTGCCTCAGCCTGAAGGGGATATACACTCTTTTGTCAAGAGATTAAGCTGTCAGGTCTTACTAGATTTGAAAAATGACTTGATAAAACACAAGACATCACTATCAATGATGAACAGTGTTGCAGATACACCGATGTTAAAAATGATATGTTGTTGCAGCAATTAAAGGGGAAAAAGGAGAGCGTGGTGATCAAGGAATCCCAGGTTTGTATAAAATATAAAGGCTGTACCATTATTACATACATGTCTTGAAGTTACTTATTAGTACTTGATTACTAAACGACTACTTTATTTTTTTCCAGGAACAGCCTCTAATTTTGACATTTACACATTCAAGGTAATCACTACACCACTGGTCAGTGTGCTTCATATGCTGGACGTACTGTAAGAAGAAAATTCTTGATGATGTTGAACTGTTTTCCAACAGAATGAACTGAAGGGAGAGCGTGGAGACTCAGGTGTGAAGGGAGAAAAGGGAGAGCCTGGTGGTGGATATTATGATCCACGTTATGGAGGAGTACAAGGCCCACCGGGGCCTCCTGGCAAACCAGGCCTGCAGGTGAGTAAAATATCAGGTCCCATTTTCTAAAAGATTTCTGGTTTTACCTGTACAGTAAGCACATGACCTGTTATTACACATACAGTAAATGAAAATTGTTTTGTTGTGACCTAGATGATAGATTTCTTTTATTTAAAGTGACGCTTCTGTAATTTAGATTTTTCTCTTTTATGTTAGGGTCCAAAAGGAGATTCCGTAATGGGCCCTCCTGGACCCCAGGGGCCATCAGGACCACCAGGAATTGGTTACGATGGGCGCCCAGGTCCTCCAGGACCACCTGGACCTCCAGGACCCCAAGGATCACTTCCTGAAGCACCCAATCACTGTAAGTGGAATTTTCTATGTTTAAATTCTAGAGGCTTTGCAGAGTAAATGAAATGCAGCTTGTTATCTTCGGAAGTGAAGAGTCATACTACAACTAGTGTGGAGTTGACTTCAAGATACTGTCAGTACTTTACTTGTTGGAGCTGGAGCTGTTCATAAGCCAAATCACTGACAAGCTTTTGTTGTCATTTGAAGCCGTCATTGTTCCCGGACCTCCTGGTCCTCCTGGTGCACCTGGAAGTCCTGGTGTCTCCTCTGGGGTAAGTGCCATCATTGCATCTTTATATTCCTCTGTCTGACTATTTGATTGCTAGGCTGGCACTGAAAATAAGTTATTTTGTAAGGATCAGTTTGCACACTGGAACAGTTGTTAGGAATCGATCATGTTGTGCCTAAAACACATTTGCCTGATCAAATATTCAGGGCGGATCAGCTGATCAGATCACTTCATTTTAGGAGCAATTGGCAGCCATTTATTAGTTATTCTGTTTATGTTCAACAAAAGCTAAACACCATGTATTTTGGTTTTCAACAGGTTACAGTTTTGAGGTCATATGACACAATGGTTGCCACTGCCAGACGGCAGACAGAGGGCAGCCTCATCTACATCATAGACAGAGCAGACCTCTATTTGAGAGTACGCGATGGACTGCGGCAAGTCATGGTACCGTAATCTGCTTTTCACCCAAGAAAATGAGATTAAAATGGGCATTTTACTGCTGCAGTAATATATTTTTGACCAATAGGGGGCAAAAAATAAATTCACACAGCTACTTTAATTTAATTTTGTATATTCATGTTATTCATGTTAAAATAAATATGAATAATAATAGTAATAATAATAATAATAATATTTTTTTATTATTATTACTATTATTACATTTTATTTATTAATTTTCAATGTATTTGTTCAATTGCAAAATACCTTTATTCATGTTTACTGAAGTCATGTGTTTGTGTGACATAAAGTTAAAAAGTAAAAAGTATAGAGACAAAATAGACAATAGGCTTGAGCATACCTTCATACATACATTAGCTCAATACAGCATCTCCATATCAGATTAACAGAAAGAGGAGTGTCTGTATTTGGAAGTCATTCAAATGTTGGCTTTCTAAGTACCCTGGTATACTGTAATAACACGATACCGTCCATGTTTAGTACACTCATATTATTTAATGTACAGTTCAGATCAAATAATTTCAGTGTGATTTAAGACGTCACTAAACAGCTCTTATCCCTTCTCAGCTTGGAGAGTACAGTCCCTTCTTCAGAGATCTGGTAAGCTGCACTGAAGAAAAATAGAGAATAGACTAAACACATTTTTCCTTTGGGGCATTCACTGACTGATATTTCTTTTCATCTTTTTAACTTTTATCATTTAAAGGAGAACGAGGTGGCAGAGGTCCAGCCTCCACCTGTGATTCTGTACCCCCAGTCCCAGGACCAGTCCCAGTCCCACAGCAACGGAGCTGGCCATTACTCCCAGGGAGCTTCCATTCGACCCATTCAGCCGCCACCACACCCCCCTGTAGACCCCAGATACCCCCCTCACTATGATCCCAGATTCCCAGACACGAGACACACAGGTCAGACAGATGGAAGACTGGCCACCCAGCAGACTGAGGACAGATACCCTGTCACTCCGCAGCGACGACCCAGCCCACCTGTACTGCAGCCCCATGTGGACACAGCAGGATCGGGAGTGAGTATTTTTATTATTATTTATTTACCGGGGACAATGCACATTAATCAACACCGTAGTTAGACTTCAATGTAAATGTACTGAAGTTAGCTAAATAGTTAATTTTCATCTGTGGTCCCTGTGGTGAGCAGGTTATAACTATAATTAGTGCCCAACATCATCAGTACAGTGCTTCAACAAGTTCTGCAAGAAAAACACATTAAATTATAATGCATAAGTGCATTACATATATATATATACATACAAGTACTGCAAGAAAGATAAAGTGCTAGATAATACATAAATACATGACAAAAGTGACAGAAGTACTGTATATGAAAAATTTAAGATTATGCAAAGTGCAGAAGATATATGGTTTGATTGCTGGAGTAGAATCTGGAGAGCTCAAGAATATATTAAATGTTAATTATGGAAGGGATTGCATTAGTTTAATGCAGGATCAGCCCTAACCCTAGCACAGTGATGATGAAAAAAATGTAGTGTATACAGAATATTTGACAGGGAGGTTTAAATTTCTAAGAAAAAAAGGAAACAAACTGATCGGATAGCAAAAAAAGGAGTTAATTCCCAGAGAAAGGTTTGTAGAACAGTGAAGCAGCGATTGAATTTTGGGGGGTATATGCCCCTCTTTTGTTTGTTTTATGTACCTGTGTCCAAGAAGCACCTGCTTGTTTTTTTACTCCCGTTACATCCTAGTAATGCTTTTTTTCATTTTAAGATTAGATTATTTATTTTTTTAGCAAAAGCATGAATAGAGGCAAATATGTTGACTGGTTTTGTGGATAACTGTGGAGTATACTGACTGGGTAAAAGGCTAGGTAGAAATTAACGGTATAGAGAACGGGGGGGGGTTTACAGGAAATTTATATTTGAATATTATAGCTTGCCTGATATTGGAATTTTTGTGTCTGATACCGATGCCAATATTTAAGTTTCCAAAATGAAATAATGATATATATATGTCCATGGCCCATGTAGAGAGCGGGACACTTGAAAGTCTATTTGTCAGTCTTTACTGGTGGACTAATGGAGACACCTCACATATATCTTTGACATTTCTGTAACGCAATTATTTGTTACTTATCAGCAGACATATATGTGAAATAAGCTAATATTGGCTGATTTATTCATCAGGGTCACATACTGCCAGACTATGGAGCTCAATGAAAAAGTATATGCAAAAAACAACCAATAACCAATTTTCAATAATGTGCTAAACTTGGTTTATTAAAATAATGTATCCTGTTCTGATGCGTAACCAGAGCAGGTCAAACAGCGGCTTAACATAAACCTGTGTCTTCCTCATCAGCTTCATCTCATCGCCTTGAACGCCCCTCACACTGGTAACATGCGAGGAATTCGCGGGGCAGACTTCCTGTGCTTCCAGCAGGCCCGCGCTATAGGCCTGAAGGGGACCTTCAGAGCTTTCCTGTCCTCCAAACTTCAGGACCTCTACACCATTGTCCGCAGGTCGGACCGGGAGAGCGTGCCCATCGTGAACCTCAAGGTACGATACTAATACTTCTGTGGAGGTGGAAATATTGCTGAAGGGCCAGATACACTCCGAACGCACAGAAGATGTTGTGACATTTTGGGGGGCAGGGGCTCAATTGAAAAAAGGGCACAAATTATATTATTATCATTAACACTTACCACGCACACGTGACAAAGACTGAGAAAAGACTCTTGATGTAAGTCATTAACTGAGAATGTTCTGAGGTGATATGCTTTAGTTATTTTGTCTTTCCTATTAACCCGCAGTGCCTTGTTAAATGTATGCAAATAATTAATGCCTAATTTGCATATCAAAGTGACGATTGTGATGACGTTATCAGGCACAGATTTTACTGTATTCCCCCTTACTGTCTCCATTAAGTACAATACATTCGCCTCAATGGCCACGATATATTGCCTTAGCTGAACTTTAACTTAAGTTATTACATTAGCTAGTAGCTCATGAGTCATGCATGTTAGCAAGACACAAGCAAACTATATTTGTCTTTTGGCTAATTAGCTGCAAACTCAAGGCACTGGTAGTTTAGTGTTTTGTTTATCATCAGACCGAGGGAGAGAGGGCACCGGAACTCAAACAAAGTCTCATCTCTCCGACCTGATATTTAGATTTTTTATTCAATAAAGAGATTTGTTTGACAGGGAAGCTGTCAACTATAGTTTTACGAATGTATTTATTCATAAAACTATTTTTAAAAAGCACACCAGAAAAAAGGGCACTTTCTCTTGAGGATAAAAAGGGCAGGTGCTGAAGCCCCTTTTGATGTCTAGGTGTGCACGTGCCTGTTCTATTTATACTACTGGCTGTGTGCATAGGCAGACTCTCACAGACATCAGATTTTGAATTTTACATCATGCTAAGGCTGTGCGGACGCACAATGTGTCATTTTCACTTACATCCACATTTATGGTTCTGACTACTTTTATTTTAAAGGTGTCTTGTGTGTCATTTATCTGGATTCTGGTTGTTTACTACTGTGTCTTCACTGTTGTCTTAAAGAAATATACTTTATGTATCTTGCTGTTTTGTGCTGTAGGAGAAATTCAATTTAAAGCATTATATTCTATTGCAGGACCAATTATTGTTCAGCAGTTGGGAGTCTATGTTCGGTGACAATGCAAGCAAAATGAGGGAGAATGTACCTATCTACTCCTTTGATGGTAGAGACATCCTCAGGGATAGCGCATGGTGAGTCTGTTAACTGGCCATGATTTTGTTTGTACAACTATCATTTAACACAGCGTCCTGTGCACTCACATGTAGCTGTTCATGTAGAAGTATCCTTATTGCTGAAAATTGTATTTATCATGACCTCTGCGCTTGTTTTTGCTTTCCATCAGGCCAGAGAAAATGGTCTGGCATGGATCAAGCAACAAAGGCCACCGGCAAACAGACCAGTACTGCGAAACATGGCGGGCGGGCGACCGCGCTGTGACTGGTCTGGCATCATCACTACAGAGCGGCCACCTCCTGCAGCAATCCTCCAGTAGCTGTTCTGGCTCCTACATCGTCTTGTGTATTGAGAACGCCGCAACATCACACTCCAAAAAATAAATCCCGTTCATCCTCCTTTTTTTTTTCCTTCTGGGCCCCAGTTAAACACAGTTTTATTTCCCTGATAACACGCCTCGTGAAAATGTGGTGTTCGATGAACTGGCCCTACGGCTCTTCGCCTGGCAGAGATGCTTTGCGTCTTCTGTTCCTCCCCACCACGAACGCCAAAGAGACAGAGGGGTGTTGGTCCTTTTTCTCGGGGGCATTGGCACATATTTTCTCCAAGGGGTGGAACGTGAGAGGAGAAGCTAAACGCGTTCTCAAATTGTATCCATTTTTTTTTATTCTGTATATTACATGTTTGACATTTGTGATTTTTTTTTTTTTTTGGATGTTATCAGTGTTTTACCTTTTGAACTGTTTATAAAAATGCTATATCCATCCTGTTTTTATTTTAGATATTGATCATTTCCACATTTTTTTCCAATTTCATTTACCAATTGTGGGTTACGACGGGGTACAGCAAACTTTAAAAGACTATTTTAAATTTAAAGAAGATAATAGATATTTATTTTTAAATGAAGTTATGTAAGGACAAAAACAATTTTTGGGAAAATAAAAACAAAGCTACATACCCACCATTTATATTCACAGCTACACCGCACAGAACTTTTCATTCTTTTCAAAACATCTTCTAATCAGAAACTGTGCCTTATTACACAACCAGGACTGCTTTAAATAAATAAGCTCAAATACTGAACCACTTCTTTTGTACGCATTATTCTACACATATGTAAAGGTTACAGCGTTTTTTGCTCAAATGCATTCAGATGCTTTAACTTCACGCTAAATTTAAATGATCTTACTGGACACAGACACTACTGTAATGAAAAATCCCACATCCAGAGGGCCAGATTCCTTCTAGCTGAAATTGAGCCTTTTGAATTTGATTATTTCCCTTTTTGCCACTTTAGAGAAACCTATCTGTGAGTAAGCTGGATGTGATTAGTTTGCTGCTAATCTTTGTTGGAGTGATTGCTGTCACGAGTGTTAGCAGTATGTTAAGGAGACATTGAATTTCAGAGACGACCCTGGCCTTAGTGCTATGATGTCTTGACTGAACCTGTGGATATCCATTTTTATAACAAATTGTGCTGTACTGTTTCTCCCAGGCACTGAATTAAAGTCTTTTTCAACTACAACAATAATGTCATGTACTGTATATATGCACAGTGCTCAACCAAATGCAGCCATCTCATGAAGATCTCTGATAGCGCCGTGACCTTGACACGTTTCGTACAGCAGCCCTGACCAGCGGTTTTATGTCCTATTCAATGAGATCCTTCTTGTGGCATTGACATGGCAATAAAAGGCGCTACCACACCTGGGTCATACAAAATCTATTAACCTTCACAGTTAATCTACACTTGACCATTAAAATCATAACTGGTAATATCTATTTGTCATAAATATTGGACTGTTCCCGTAGCACCTCACAAAGGTTAATTGGGTGACCCTATTCAACAGTACAACCACCAATAGTGGCCAATTATGGGTGTGTTAAAACAACAACAACAAAAATTCCAGACCCACTTAAAGTGAATCTATCAATGTGTCTGGATTAGGAGTTAACGTTGTTGGTAGATGGGTTTCATTATTAACTAATTAGGACACTCGTATAATAGTCCTGATTGTCCTGGACGTGTCAAGAAAAATATAAAATAAATAAAAGAAGAAGAAGAAATTACCAGGCAATCATGAATCCATTGGCTGTAGGTTCTACAAGTAAAGTGGATTTTAAAAGAGAACTGAATTAGGTCACCAGTCATTGGCGATGGCTTATGAAATCCCCTTAAATCTCTTCTTTAAAGTTAGGAGGCGTTTCAAGATAATATTTGATTAAGAAGATTAATTTGAATTATTCAGAGCTGGCCTAATTTCTTAGTTATTTTAAAATTATATGCCCACCATAAGATAGTTTCTTACATTCAGGTGGTTAAAGTGGAAAGTACCTTATTTATCCCTCTATATGTAAAAACATTCATGTAACTGCAGGTAATGCTGTCAGGCTGTTGAGATCATATTTCTGCCGTATTGGCTTCACTGCACTGACTCCCTGTAAAATCCAAATTAGAATTTAAAATCCTTCCCCTCACTTACAAAGTCCTTAATGGTCAGTCACCATCATATCTTAAAGAGCTCATAGTACCTTATCATGCCACTAGAACACGGCGCTCCTATAATGCAGGGTTACTTGTGGTTCCTAGAGTCTCCAAAAGTAGAATGGGAGCGAGAGCGTTCAGCCATAAAGCTCCTCTACTGTGGAATCAGGTCCCAGTTTGGGTTCAGGAGGCAGACTCCCATCTCCACATTTAAGAGAAGTCTTAGTCTTTCCTCTTTGATAAAGCTTATAGTTAGGGATGGCTCAGATGCGAGACCTGAACCATCCCTTAGTTATGCTGCTATAGGCTTAGACTGCCATGAGACTTGTGCTGCAATAGAGTCAATGTGCTGAAAGTACATAAACACATTTAATAGCTATCAAATGTGGCGTTTGCTTACACAGCTGCAGAATAACTCTGAAATTTGCAAGTAATTTAAAGTGTTTAACGTAGAAACTGAAGCAACACTGACACCTCATTTACCTGCTGGGTGACCTTTTCTTGCCCTTGACAGGATGAGGTTCAGTCCTGGCAGTTTTCCCCACACCAGGAACAGTTTGACACTCTTTGCTTTCTTGAAAAGAGTAATAAAGGAACATCGGTAACACGGATATCTTTCTATTAAATGTGAAGTTACAGCAAGCAGTTAGCTTAAAGTCTGGAAAACTGTAAAATAGTTTGCCTGGTTATGACCAAAAGAAACAAAATCTTATAATATGTATCTTATTTGTTGAATTCACACAATAAACAAAGCCAAAACATGAGTTTTGTGCGGGACCATTTGTTTGCTTGCTGGAGTCTTTTCACCGTGAGCTTGCCAGATGACCAGCTGGTAAACAAACAAAATATAATGTGTTAATTAGTGAGCTTCAGAAGCCTCCACCTCCATGTTAGTCAGCATGATTTGTGGTGTGGTGACTGCTGACCATGTGGGGATTACAACTATCTTGGATGGCAGGGGATACTTGAGCTGTGGAGTGTGTACCAAGCACCAAGTGGACACCTCCATCCTGTACATGTCTGAAAGATGGACATGGGTGTGTATGTGTAATATTATTTCTGTATTATTAATTAAGTCCTTTGCCTTATAACAGATGCACCATGGGACTGTGGAGAATGTGTTCATGTTGTGAAAGTGCACTTTGACAGGAATGAGTTATTGCAGCTGCACAGCATGATTTTCCTGTTCCTGTTATTTTAATACATCCAAATGACAAAAATAGAGTATGGTAAACATTGAATAGCAAAATCCAAACAACAAACAACCCAGCTACAGGTAAGTTTGGGGTTGAAAACTCAAAAAAAGTAGTTCTGAAGGCAAAAGGAAAGTACGGAGAGCAGCAGTGTGAGTTATTAAGTTTTAGCAAGTCTAAAAGCAACAGGAAGCACCCAAATAAAAATACAGTTTGCAGAACACGATGCTAAAGCCATAAAGTCATGCTAACAGCTCGGTGAGGCTGCACTTGGGTGCAGCATTGAGCTAAATGCTAATGCTAGCATGGTAAAATGCTGTTAGGTTAGCATTTGCTAATCAGCACTAAACACAAAGGAACAGTTGAGCCTGATGAGAATGTCAGTTTTGGAGGTATTTGAACCAAAGTACTGGACAAAAAGAAATGTTGACCTGATGATGGCACTAGATTAAAAGTCAGCATTCATATTCTAGGGAAGATTTAAGATTTATTTCTTTCGAGTTTAAAGGGTGATTCCTGAGTGAAAGTTGAAGAAACCTGATGGTTAACTGTAGTTTAAAATATTCTTTATGGTCAACACCTGATGCCAAACAGTGGATCACTTCACAAATCTGAGGAAGAACATTCAAAACAATTATAAAATCTTTGTTAAATAAATACATAAAAGCTTTTTTTATTCCTTTTTCCTCAACAAATAAAACTTCTTAATAAAAAAATAAAGTGTATGAATTTGTGTAATTATTGTCCAGCCCTATACACTCACCAAAAATACCACAGTGTACATTGTAAAAACTTTGTAAAAACTTTGCAGGGGTCCATTTCTTTCAAGTTTTAATAAACTCAACCCAAAGTTGGTATTAAATATTGGGAGCCTGAAGGCATCATCTTTAGTGGCATGTCATTTGGTAATCAAGCATAACTGATAGGACAGAGGTCCAAATTTATCCTTATCCTTATCCCTCAGCCCACCCAGTAATAAAAAGCAAGCGCTCCCTAAAAAATAATCAGTAAATACAGTCACTTCCCACTCAGTTTCATCAAATCTGCCTCTTAAGCATGTCAGCCCGCTGAGTAGCCCTGTGAGATCTATATGACTTATATTAATTGACTGGGGGGGCTGAGTGTCGCAGCAGTGTCCCTGGTTGAAAGAAAAATAAACTAGCATCATAACATAAGCAAAATATCCATTTAAGTCTTCTAGACTGAGTGAGGTTAGAGTGGGTGGGGGGTGGTTGGGATGTAATAACCCGCAGCTGGCTTTGCTGCAAAGTGCTATCACACTGACTGCCTGGGGAAAGCTATATTTAGTGGGTGCTAAGTAATAACTAAGCACAGTGAAATGATCCAGCTACGGTAATGATACAACAAGGTGACAACCAGATATTGGGGGACTTAATTACGTTTCGGGGCGGAAGCAAAAAGCCACAGTTGTCAGATCTCTGGTCTGTGTTTATTCAACGCTGGTGACTCGCTGTCACATTAACCCAAATCTAACAATAGCTTAACACTGCACTCACATTGCAGTTACAGAGCCACTTTGTTTCGTGACCTTTTAATGTGTTTTATCTGAGAAAAGACCAACCTTATTTTAGTGTAATAACCTCAGCACATAAGTTTCTGTGTAAAAAGACTACTTGCTGTACATCATTAGCAAATGTCTCACTGTTTTAATGCATTCTGCCTTTAACTAGACTAACATGTTTCCCAATCAAATAAAAGGGTAATAAGGAGGCCTAAAGCAACATTTGTGTAGTGTCTGAAGTACTTAAGGCCTACTGCAAGGCTTTCACATTTCACTGACATTTAGACAGATAATGAGTAACAATCTCCCAGTCTTTAAATCCCCTTGTGAATCTTCTGGCATTTAGGTCTATTTTTTTTCCCTCCTGTCTTTAAATATTTGATAAGGAGGATGTTATCTAGAGTGGATATTCCTGGCATAATGGAGATGCTTTGACCACTTCATCATACCTGCTTTACAATGACCCAGGTATGCTGCTCCAATGCCTTTCATCACATTTACATTTGAGACGTAATTGGGAAGTATAATTCAAAGTCAAGGTAAGGCCGCTTCCTGTGAAACAGTCTTCAGTGACATTGTGTTTTCTCTGGAGATAAAAAGATCATGGCTTACCACACAGGCCAATATGAATGTTTTATTACTGATTCTGTTTCCCATAATTAAAGCAATTTAATTAATGCAATCTGTGCCTGTGCAGTTGATTTTTGGGGGGTTTCAAAGTCTCACACCTTTTCAATAAAAGGCATAATAATAATAATAATAATACAGCTGAAAAAATGCGCCATCCTAAAGCAGATGTAGATAGGCTTTACATACCAAGAACATCAGGTGGTAGGGGCCTCATCCAAATTGAGATGCCATACAAGACAATGACCGAAACCGTGAACGAAATTGAAATCATGGAAAATGAGCCAGCCACCAAGTATACCCGAAGAAAAAAAGTTAAGGCCAAACAACAAGCCCTAGAAAAGCTAAAGAGTAAATGGGAAGAAAAATGTCTACACGGACAATACCTGAAACGAGTTAGCGACAAAGATGTGGATCAAGCCCAAACAAATCAATGGTTAAGAACAGATGGACTAATATCTGAAATTGAAGGGTTTATTATTGCTGCTCAAGACCAGTGCATTAAGACCAACTATTATCGGAATAGGACTCTGACAGATGGCACTTGCCCAATGTGCAAGATATGCAACAAGAGACAATAGATCATCTAGTCTTGGGCTGCCAAATACGGGCCAAAACAGAATACATCCAACGGCACAACAAAGCAGCAGCACTACAACATCAAAATAAAGGACAAATACTATGAGCATGAGCCATCAACTGTAATAGACAATGATGAAGTACTACTACTATAATCTGGGACATGCCAATTCAAACTGATAAAGAAACCAAGGTCAACAGACCCGAAATAGTAGTAAAGGACAAGAAGGAGAGAACTTGTCTGCTCATCGACATATCTGTCCCCACTGAGACAAAGACCTGGAGATAGAAATTGAAAGAATGTGGGGGATGAAGACCACAACAATTCCAGTAGTAATAGGTGCTCTTGGTCTGGTAAAGAAAGGGATGGAAAAGTACACCAACAAAATCCCTGGTAACATAAAGCTACAAGAAATCCAGAAGATTATCCTCCTCAGCACTGCTCACATTTTAAGGAGGGCATTATTCATCAAATAAATCCATCAATAATAATAATAATAATAATACAGTCAGTTTTAAAATAAAGCATTTGAAAATATTATTATATTATTTTGAACCCTCAGTCCTATTGCAAGCTCCCACACTTTAATAAAAAAAAAATGTAGCAACTCCTTGCATAGCCTATATCACTAGTGTATGTCAGTATTTAGATATTAAAGCAAGTATCTTTTGATATTTATCATGCTTTTTCATATAGGATTCCCCCAGCTCAGGTCTACAGCACCAGTTCACAGCTACCTCACCAACCTTACACAGCTCACTACCCGTGGTCATCACTGCAGCTGGCTACATATTCGATGTGACATCCTCCTTCCTTCTTCTAATGAATTTTTTATGTCTCTTCCTCTCCCACTCACACGCAGACGGGACTCGTATCAGACCTGTTCTGTAAATCTATGCTACTGTAAATGACAGTGTTGCCTCTGGACTATGTGACCCTTCTGTCCTGTTAGTGCTATAGATTGCTCTACTGTAGGTTCCATACTGATTGGATTTGTCCAGAGACATTGAAATGCACAGTGCCAGCATCATTTACAAGTCCTCCTTGCGTTGTCAAGATACAAACTTGTACACCCAAGGAAGGGGGGAAATCATGTCAAACATTATAAATATCCATGAAATTATTTTTCTGATTAGGAATTATGCATATGTCCAATCTTAGATGCTATTATACAAGCAAGACTCCAGAATGGGCCATTTTCAGAACTGACTGCAAGGGATATTTTTGCATTCTCTGTCTGGCAATATTGATTTCAGAGAAAGACAAACTTCTGGATTTTACTCACCGCTAAACTGACAGTTTGATGCCACACTTGTGCTGTGCATAGCCAACCATGTTATAATGCACTCTGGTATTGACAGCCTCATTGATTTTCAGGGCTCTTGCAAAAGATCATTCAAAGGGGAGTAATGTTCGAATCTGCAGGCCCTACGCGTGCAACGGTTTTACCTTGATGGAGAAATAACACATTTTACAAAAAAAGCTCTGTTGAACAGAAGGGATGTATTTATGTTAATGCAAACAAAAGTCTGTTTTGAACAAAGGTCGGAAATGGTCCAACCGTCATTTCCCTTAGTGAATATTCAGGTATTTGACAGACAAAGAAAGCAATTCGATGTAACTTTTGACTTTGGCAAATAGGGATATGCACTTTTATTGTGATATTTAATACACCAAACAATCAATCGAGAAAAAACAGCCCATCCTCATTAAAAAAAAACGATTATGAAGCAGTTTATTGCCTCTAGTATTGGAAGAAGTCAGGTGACTTTGTGTAAAGAGGACAAAAGTTCACTTAAGGAGGTGATGGGATGGATGGATGTGTCAAGTAAACCCAGGACTTCCACTCTGTAGACACAGGTGGCCCATGTGAAAGAGAGTCATCCATCCATCGTCAACCACTTATCCTACGTACAGGGTTGCGAAGAGAGTCAAATTTGACATTTAAATTTTTTGGTTAAGGTAAGTTAAATAACATTGTGTACATGACTTGCATAATGTGACTTATGTAATCTCCTTATTTTAACCCAAAGCACAATCTTTTCCTAAAACCTAACCAATAGTTCTGTTGACTAAACCAAACCAAACTATGACCGTTTCACGTTTACCGCATATCATGTGACTTACGTAACGCACTTAAGGTCCGATACACCTGTCGCTGGGCTGTTGCTTGTTACATGTCGTTTTGGGGAATGGTCATATATGCTGTTGTGCTTTCCAACTGAAATATATGTCGTTTAGGGAAAATTTTAAACTGACCTGTTTTGTCGTTTAGGTATGAGGACGTGTAGAAAATAAACACTGAATGAGCCAGATTGAATATTTACAGTCTACCTGCCTAAATGTTCAATAAATGAATGAAAAATAAAAACAAAAGACAAATACAACATGTGACCAAACAGGAATTCAGCTGCTCCGTTGTGCAATGGTGCCACTGCTCACATTAACATTGTGGTTATTTCTGTAATGGGACTCTCATGTCTGAAAAGCCACAGTAAACATTTATGTTATGCTGAAATGAGACCTGTGTTTGAATGCCAACAAGCCGTCACTTTAACAGATATTTTTGTGTATTACATGTCTAAAAATGAGAAAAAGCGCTATAGTAGTTGTTAAGCCTGCACAGATTAAAGTTTGTTATGCCCAGCTCGTGGAAGAACATAACAAAGAGGGAACGTCCACGCAGAAAACAGTTTAAATGAACCAGAACGTTTTATTAAAAGTTACCTTAACTTATAATTAACTCAAAACACAAGTAAATTCAAACTCATCATACTCAAAACAAACAACCAAAAGAAAGGGAGCTCCTGAAAGGCAAGAGAGAAGAGAAGGAAGAGAGAGCCATCTTGGTTCACCACAGCTTTTAAGGACTTGAACAGGTGGCTGCAATCACTGAGGTGGGCGTGTCTGACCAAACAGGAAGAAAGACCTGGAAAGAAAAGGAGAGAGAACAGGCCAACACCCCAGGCCCTAGGCCCCAGGCCGTCACAAGTTTGTCAAAAAATGTAACTTAACTTTACTCTACTACTAACGTTCCCTGGAAAGCCACTGGCTGACTGTCATTAGTTTATATCTTACATTACATTTAGCTGACGCTTTTATCCAAAGCGACTTACAATTGCTATACATGTCAGAGGTCGCACGCCTCTGGAGCAACTAGGAGTTAAGTGTCTTGCTCAGAGACACAATGGCGGATTGAATCCAGGTCTCTCACGCCAAAGGCATGTGTCTTATCCACTTTTCCATCACCACCACCAGAGAGGTTTAGAAATGGATGGATCATTTTCCCTAAGCCAAGTTATTGTTGGACCTTGTGAACGTCATGAAGAAAACACTGAGTTTCACAGAAATATATAAAAACCCTGCATCCCCCACAGCTGCTAGCCCCTGAGAATTCCCTCCATCCCTCAAAAAATCTACCTTTCAGCAAGTCGCCGAGCAGTGTTTGCTGACAAAAAGAACAACGGAAAAGTACCGCCTCTTTGCTCTGCTTATGATGAAACATTAGAACTGGTGTTTCCTTTACTTCCCAGCGCAGAACGAAGATGGTGATGTGCCTTTAATTCCTCAATCTGACAGATCACCATTGATCATTTATCAAGCTGGGCGCTTGCCAGAGCCATCGACTGAGATGGGGGGGGGAAATAAAACAAGACTTGTGGAATTGAAGTGTGCGGTTTAGTGAACATACGAGCAACAACGGCTGATGAAAATTCACACTTTCTTCTTACTCTCTGCTCAGTGTTGCTGATGAAGAAGGCTGAAGGCTGAGTGTAAATGTACTCTACGTGGCAGAAGGGAATTGATTATGTGGGTGTGTGTGAGAGCCTGTGAATTTGAGCGCATGCCTGCATGTGGCATCATGGGTTGCTGTCTTCGTGCATGTGTGACTTGTTTGACCGTACGTGAGTAATTCTCAAACTCCAGATGACTGAAGCCTCTCTTTCTGTGTGGCACCTTGTTGTTTTTGTTTTTTTTGCCAGGTCTGCAGAGGAGCATACAGTGATGTTGTGCCAAGTTAAGTGGCCCAGAATCTAATCACTCTAATGTCAGTGGCAGCCCTGAATCACTCTCCCTGGCTGTGCAACGATTGGTCTGTCCTTCAGAAAGGGAAGCGTTTCATGACTCCTTCCATATTGTAATTATTTCAACTGGATGTGAGCTATTGCACTCATTGGCTAGGGCAAGGCACCGGCTGCTTCCACTGTCATTGGTTGCCTGGACACCCCGGTGCCGCCTCCCATTGGCTGCCTAGAGGAGAGTGGGAGGAGAGCTCACTCCATCCTCCCCCTGTGGCAGAGCGTGTAAATGTAAAGACTCTTTCTCTGCCTATTATCTGAGTGACTCTGGGTTTTGGTGTCTGCCTCCGAGCGTGTGTGTGTGTGTGTGTGTGTTGGAGGGAGAAAAGAGATAAAGAGAGAGAGAGAGAGGGAGAGGCAAGCAGCGTTTCTTCTCCCCCCTTTAGCCTCCCCGTCTCCCTGCTCCCTGTCACTCCATCCTTCCTCCCCTCTCCTGGACCACCCTCCAGCCCTACTTCGAGCCAGACCGAGACCCCCTACCACCCAGACCACCCCGGGACCCTATGACTCTCCTCACTTCTCCGTCCCACCAACCATAACCTCTGAGCAGGTAAGACTCTGCTTGTTTCAGCCTGCACTGAGGCTTTCAAAAGTACTTCCTGCCCTCTCCTCTACCTTCTTCTGCTCTTGTTTTTGTTTTCTTTACACTCAGTGTTCTCTGTTCTCTCTGGCATCTCCGTCTTTTTCCTGTATGCATATTTCAAGTCTTCCCTGCAGCACGTTTGTCCCTCTCACAAAAGTGACACAGTTGCAGGAGATGATATCAGTGAGGTCAATGTATTTTTCTTCTTTCTCTGATATTCTGCCCTGATATCAACTCCCCCCTCCCTCCCTACACCACAGTCTCTTTATCTTCTCTCCTCATGTCTTTTGCAATCTCATACCCTCCAGCTTTCAGCGTGTGCAAATTCAGTAGGAAAGTGAGTCAAGTCTTTTATTTTTAAGTCTGCCCGGGGCATATGTTGACAGGGACAACATGCTGTATTTTGGTCGTGGAAAATGTGTCTCTAATTGATTTGTTGAAAGTGTTTATGTTAGTTGGTGATGGCTATTTATAGACGCTGACGTGCCAGGCACACACGCTTCCGCTAGGCCACTTCCCTAATGCCGGGGCAGAACACAGGGTTGTCCACTGGCTCCTGAACGCATGACATTGCACAAAGTAGAATGACTTTACAAGGCAGTGACTTGCTTGATTGAATCAAGCAATCTTTCCAGCAGGAGAACTCCAATATTAACATGGCCCATAAAGCATTCCTGGCAACAGCGGAGGAGAAAGAAAAACTGCTTAGTTCTCCATCCGCACATCCTGTGCTTTACCAGGAAGGGGAAGTGGAGTGTGTGTGTGTGTGTGTGTGTGTGTGTGTGTGGATTTGTGAGGGAGACAGAGATACGGCTGAAGTGCTTTAGACATCGATACTGTCAGCCCGGGGTTTTTAAAGCCACTCTAACATATCTGAAAATTGGACCTTACATTATTGTCAACAATTAAAGAAATGCTTCGCCTGGTGGGAAGTTTTGTTTCATTGGAGGGTTTTTTGTAAGGAGGAGGGTGTTAAAACATGACTGAGGAGCAAAGGTGGACGAGGAGGAGGTTTTTAGTCAAGTTGTTGTTTTATCACTCATTTGTAAATAGCACCTATATTCCAAAAATGATCTGCAAAGCCATGAGTGTTTTATCCTTTCAAAGTCAGATTCAATTTAAAAACAACTTCATTATAATCCAATCACAGGTAAGATATCCTGCTTTATTTAGGGCATCATAATTTGCATGGTTTTCATTAAGCAACCATGTGAGGTTGTGGCCTTCTCTTTCAGACAGTTTGACCTTTCTTTCTGTGATAATCATTTTCTAATTTAGACAAAAAGAGCATCTGTGATAAAGTCTCTCGGGGATGAGAATCTTCCCAATAGGGCTGCCTCAAGGGAGAGCAGCTTTCAACTGAAAGGCTTTTATTGTGAAACTGAATGAAGAAATCCCTGACACTTAAAATTTAACTCTGAATGTCACTTTGATATTGCATATTTATGATGTTTTTGACCGTAAGTGTGTCAATGAAGAGCATATTTATGATGTTGGCAGCATTCACATATTCATGCATTCGGCTGTTGGGTTGATAGTTTAGAAGTGTCCGTTTACTTCTTGAAGAAACACGACGATGTGTGTCTGCACTACCCCTCAGCTGCTCAGCTGGCTCTAGCCCAAATGCTAAAGCAAAGTCACAATTGCTCAACCTCCCCATACTAATCCACTCTAATGCTCATGTATCATCACAAAAACAGCATGATGTTAGGAGACCTTTAAACCTTGATGGAGTCCAGGCTGGATGCAAAGTTACACTGCTCATTGAACAAAATTACAAATAATGGGGGAAGATGCAAGTGTCACCATTAAAAGCAAACTTGGCAGAGTGACTTTAGTTTCTCAAGCACTCAGCTGTATTTTGTGTAATTAAGTTTTGTTTTCATGAATGAGCAGATGATGCGGTCTTAAAAATTAATTACCTTCTCATTCAAGTTTGTGACAATGTACTCTCACTAAAACTCGTCATTTTTAAAATCGCCACAAGTAACATAGTCCAAGTTTAGTGAAGTCAGTGAGCAAACTCATAGAGAGAACTAAAGAATGATGAAAGAAAATAAATTTAACTTGCTTTCCGAACACAATAACATTTTTTTCTCACCACATCAGCCCAGCAGCTGTTATGTGGCCATATTTAATACACTTACTGTTACTGCACATCAACTCTTTCAGTGTAAGCTCTCATAAGAATGCATACGTAAAATCCCTTGTAGAATGAGATATTTATGAGCCTCGCTGAAGAGCCTGCGCGCTGTTTGTGCACTTGCGTGCCTTCATAAGCCACTGCTTTAAGCTTAAGTTGAGCTGTATGCAGTTAATGCTGACAATGACTGTGGCTCGCCATGTCAGACCAGTTTTACACTTTCACGTCACACATTGCCACAGATGTCAGTTCAGGACGCTAGGTGTTGTGAAGGTTCGGCAATTGATTTGAGCTAAACACACAAATGAAGTGTCGAAGTGGCAGCATATGAAATGTGAGTAGACAGGCTTTTGTTTCTCACGTCACTGAGAAGAGACAGATTTAAACTGCAGATGCCACTCATTGTTTGATCATGTGCTCCTTGCTCATAATTATTCAAGTGAGTACATATTAATACATACATTCTCTATACACTTCTGCCTCAAAATCCATTTTCTATGTGTTTCCATTTCCACCACTAATTTTCCATTTGGAACAACCCCACTATAAAAAGACAGATCACATGTTTCCAGTATATTCAGTAAGCCCTGCTTCCTTCTATGTAAAGCCAATGCTCTGCAAGCAGCTGGCCCTTTGTGCCTTGGCCCTTTCGAGCCGTTCCGGATCTCCTGCTGGCCTGGCTCAGGACACAGAGTGTGCCGGGAGTTGCCTGTGTAGGGACTGGCTCGGTGTGAACAAGGCCACTGACACTGACTGGCTGCCTTCTCCATATCTGTCACAGAATGACGGAGGGCAAATGGACACATACAAAAGGGCTGCAGAGGAATTACTGTGTTTGGTCTGTTGAGTGCTGACTTTACAGTTAATATAATGGGAAACTAACTGTGCACTGGTGTCTACTTTCCCGATGGGAATTAAAGGAATAACTCCTTAAAGGGCTAAATTAAAGATTCATGCTGTCTATGTGTGTGTAATAATTTTAGTGTACTCCTCTGTTACATTTTTTAAACCTACAATTTTAACACATTACAGGGTTTTATCAAAAGAGTTTGATTCTGCAAAATGAGTACAAACCATGTCATCAGAAATAATCTTAAATTGTAGCCCAAAATGTTTTTTAAATATGAACATAGTTCAGAAAAGAACTATATGACACAGTATTTTTTGTTACAGAAGTTACATCTTTCTGGGAAACATGTGACCAAATCTGGGAATATTATATATATTTCCAGTGAGTCATGCATATATTTTTGCACACAAGAGACTGAATTATTCATACAATAGTTATTATGTATTTTTTATTTATATGTATTTTATTTATTTTTTTATTTTGTATTAGTTGCTGGACTTTTTTATTATTATATATATTATATCAGTATGACAGCGTATTGGGGCCATTATAGCTCAAGTAAGAAAAATGTAAAAAATGTAATTGTGTATCCGAGGGAGGGGGGTAATATTAAGAGAAATAAAAGTCGTAAATTTACGAGAACAAAAAAAATTCAGATTTTCATATGTGCTTGTGTTATTAAAGGCTCCATACTCTACTAAAGGCAGAGTGTGCAGATGTTAATAACAACAACCATCAAACATAAGCTGCTTTGACCAACCAGTATTATTAGATCTTTCTTTCTGTTTAAAAGCATCAAAAATTAGTGAAGAACTACATTTATAAATGTGACAGGCTTTCAAGTGGCTTTGTTGCAGACCCTCATATCTCAAGCCTGCCTAAGTGTCTGAAAACGGCACCTCTTCTCTTCTGTCTGCACTGCCTCTTGTCTTATATTATTTTATTTTAAAATACTCAGAAAACACTATTCTTCAGACTATTGTTTTCATAAATATACCACTTTAATCTCAGAAAGAGGTTTTTTTCTCCAATATTATCCACCTACCCCGACTCTGCAATTTTTTTCAGATTTAATTATTTTGAATATCTTTTGTATATTCTTATAGTCTGCCTCTGAGTAATATGTAAAACAACTTGATTGTTCTGTAGCTGCTTTACCCAACTCAGCTAAAGTAAGCTATTATTTGCCACTCACGCAAAGTTAGGATTTACTCTATTTATCTCCACCTGCTTAATGTTTTAGACACGTTGCTCAGCCCGTACGTTTTGACGGCTGCAGACATGGAATGATCCTCCCAGATAATCTGTCAGTCTGGTTTGTATACCGTATTCTTTTGACACATGGGTTGTGACCACTTCATTAATTATACAGACCACCTGACTGGGAGCACAGCACATAAGGGCGATTACGTTTGTGCTACAAAACATAAATTCAAAGGTCATGGCTGGATTAAGATCTCCATTGAACCCTGGTTGAGCTGTTTAAGGTCAAACTTATCCCCCATCCCTCCCACCTTTTTAACAATCTGTAGAACAGCAACCTTATTATTATGTTGCTGTTCAGCATTACATCAAATGCCTTAATCTTAAAATCCATCCAACATTATGTAACTTGTTGCACCACTCCACCACAGTAAATTACAGTAGTTTGTTTCCTGTTGTTCTTCTTGGCAAATTTTAAATTCCACCCTGACTGGATTTGCCTCTGCTGCCACCTCTATTTTTCTCAGACTATTCTGTGGCTTAAGCCCCATTCACACTACTAAGTTTTAGTTTTAAAAAGCAGTCCTTTTGCTACGTCTGGACTAAAACAGCGAATCCGAAGACCTAAAAAGGAGAAGTCGGTAAACACTGGTGTTTTTGTTTCTAAAGGCAAGGCAAGGCAAGGCAAGGCAAGTTTATTTGTACAGCGCATTTCAACAACAAGGCAATTCAAAGTGCTATACATCAAACATAAAAGCAACACTTAAAAAT